ACAGGCCATTATTCGGGTTAAATTATTTTTATTTCATGTATTTTCAGTTTTCATTTTTAAACTGCACAGAATGGCCGCCCTGTATCCTCGGACTTGGAATTCAGATTAATGCGTTGATGGGTACAGAATACTTTCATTGTTGATTCAGATAATGAAAAGGGTAGTTTATGTATTCGTTATCAGAACACTATTATTTGTCTAACACTATTATTTGTCTCATTTCCTTGAGCTGTGATCTGTGATAGCCAGGTTGCTCAGTCGGTCTTACTTGATAATGTAAAAATGGTTAATGTTTTAGATACAAAAGTGACTCAGCAGAGTACTTTTGAACGCCTTATTATTTATATATTTGTGTATGTAAAAAACGCCGCGCTCTCTAAACTGTGGAATCGGCTCGCACAAAAACAGGCGCCACGTGTCTCATGCGCCATTGACGTACTTCTCGACCGTTAATCGAACCGTTGAATAAAACCGTTATTTTCAAAACACTTAAAATAAGTTTATTTCTTCCCCACGCCGACATCTTTCCATTGTGTGGTTTAGCATGATGGCTTTGGGCAGCAAGGAACACAGGAAAACGCGATGTAAAACATTTTTTAAAAACTGATTTTGTATTTGGTTTCTTGTTCTTCCCAGCATCCTGCGATTTGTATGGTTGGCTACCTACCGTCTGAAAGAAGTTCAACATACACAGGTACATAGGGCAGTGTCTCATCGTCACAATCTATTGGTCCGAATGGTGGGGGCATCTATGAACGTAGCAAAAAAAATAATCGACCACACAACCGTGGAAGTAACCGGGATCCTTTGTCTTTGACGACAGCTATGGACCCACACTGAACCGCGCTTGGAAGCAAGCACGGGAGACGCTCGGCGTACACGTCGTTCCATGAATAGAAAATGTCAAAGAATCGCCAAACTGCGACCGTGGTGAAGCACCAAACCGTCAAACCCATAGCCGAAGAGTTGCACCTTCTACTCCACACCCTGGCGGTATCGCTGCAATCCGTACAGCAGCTACTGCTGCCATGGAATAATTGAAAAACCTTGACATTCAACTAAGACATCATCTGTACAAACTGTTGCTTCCAATCTCCCCCACGCCTCCCATGATGTACGAAAAAGATATTGACTTAAAGCTTTCGTGACTTCAGAAATTCATATTATTTGCATCTTTCGGTAAAGTCACGTAGATAAATTAAATTAATAAAAATAAAACTACGTTTCCATCGCAACACAAGTGGTCGTCATCAGGCGGAGAGAAATCAAATTCCTCTTTCTGGTTCCTTCAATTTTGTCTAACATAATTTACATTTTTTCTTTTGTCCATCCTCATGTGTGTCCGTATAGTGCAAGTTTCCTTCTCATTACTGCCTGCATCATCAATTCGTCTTCTTTTATGCGCGATCCTTTTCTTACTCCGACATTGGTTACTCTATGGCTCCAGTTTAGACGCAGTATCCTGTAGCAATATATTGCAAATGCCAATAGAATCAGAATCTTTATTTAGACTAGAGGAATGGATCAGCTATGAAGCTCTTTTTCACATAAGTCCAATAAGGGCAGATCAGCATATTACCTAAAGTTAGAGACTACAGGCGTGAAGCCTCAGTGCTGGTCTCCCAGCATATCGCCATAATGGCAGTATGTTAACTACCTTGCCTGGTATACAGGGGGATGTGGGTTCGATCCCGACTCTTAACGACTGTATATTTGAAGTTTGCATGTTCTGCCCGTGCTTGCGTGGATTTTTCTCTGATTCCTCTGGTTTTTCCCTTTCATAGAATTCTTGTGAAGCTAATGTGCTGTGTGGCTATGCTGAATCTGTCGAAGCTGTATCTGTAATTCAAGCCGTAACAATTTAACTGCACTGAAGATTCTGGGTGACCAGGTGTCTGGCAGGTTAATCTCTTTTATATGTGAATGGACTAGAAGGTAAACGGTTTACTACTGTGTACGATTTCCATATTTTGCTTGCTTTGGTTAACGATTAGGTCATGTGAGAGTTGGTGTGTAACAATGTACTCCACGCACCCGTTTGCATGCACATACACGGTAGTTGGTTTATGACGCAATGGCACGCGTAAGGGCATTGAGTACAGATTTTTATTTTAATCCGGAACACAATAAGGACGTTTCACAGAACATACCCACCCAAGTCGCGTCGGATCAATCCAGAACTTAACAACCTTCATCATACTATCCAACAGACACCTGTCCCATCTCATCGGCCGAGTAATTCAATCGTTAAGCCACTCGTAACTTTACATCCGTTATCCACAGTGCAACTGACTTCCTGGCCAATGAAATCATAATCGTGAATGACAAAACCACGACAGCTGTTAATGACACTTGGCGTGAGCAGACACACATAATCCGGTATCGAAAATTTTCGACCGACCACGTTCAAACGTTTTGGGGCCAAAGTCAACCAGATCTTTGACCCACAATGATCTCGAATTCTTGGAGGAGGATTTGGAGGTGTCCTCACTTCACGACCGGTTAAAACAAAACTCTGGAGCTGACAAGTGCTAAGTAACGATAGGTGTATACTCAGTGCAGTGGGAGGGGGGCACACACAGAGATGGGGAGGGGCGTTTGTAACCCAGATATCATTCGTGTATTTATATTAATCTGTGAATCAAACTCCCATTGGCGTTGCACCCACCATCCCAATCCAGCTGATTTATTTTTGGTTTCTGTCCAGTCGAACAGTCGATTCCTAAGTCCCATTATGATTAAAATGTTAATATATTTTCTTTAACAGATTTCATCACAGACTAATTTCAGCCACCAAATTGATTTACTCCCCCAAATTTCAGAATCGGAATCCGTGTGCGTGCTTCCATCGCCACCAGATATATTTGTTTTACGATTAATGTCAGGGTTCGTTTTAAAAAAAGAATATATATATTTTTTGCTATTCGTGGTAGATTTTGTTTTCCAGGTCGTGTTCATTCATCGTCATTTGTGTTAATGCCGAGAAGTTCAGAAAAACATTATGGACAGACGCCGGCAAACCCGCCCACCCACTTGCATCACGACACTCACTCTGTCACACGATGACACACTCATGCACTCAAGGGTCCGAATGGCGTAATTTGCAGGAAATTGGCATAGGAGTAGGGGGTGAGGAACTTAATGAACGGCGAAAAGATAGTATTGCACCGATGATGAGAATTTGTGTAAGAGTCAAGGGCTTGGGTAGGATGGGTGGGTCAGTCGGTATGAATGGGCAGGTATGGGAGGGGAGTAGGTGGTGAACCTATGCTCCCTTTGGTGGGTGGTGGTTGGCGGAGGCTGTCCATAACCTTCCTCAAGTCACTTCTTCACCGGAGTCTTGAGTCACTTCTGCAGGCACCACTTCTGTTTGAAGTGACTGCAGATGGGACTCAGGGCTGGGCACAGACGCGCACGCATCACAGATCATTAAATTGCACTCAGCAAACGTAGTCTGCCTTCATAGCCAGTATTATAAATCATCAATCTGTGGGTTAGGCCCACACAAAGATCGGACCAAACCTGTATCTCTAAGAATATTTTAAGAACCCTTCACCACTGGAGCTATGAACTTTAAAATCATCTATATTTATAACGCATTTCTTTAGAACAGCTTTTTGTGTTCAGTTGGTTGTCCTTCCACGCTTCCGATGAGCGCGGTTGGCTATGTACGGCGCCAAAGAAGTTCAACATATACATAATACGTGTCCCCTCCCCTCCTTCCACAACCCCGATCATACACTCTAACAATTTCTCACTGAAATCGACTCGGGTTTAGCCCAGAGTTTGCTAGTTCCCACGTGGGGTGAAAAATAATTGCCACTTCCTTTTAAAAGAACAAGCCATGCTTGTGTCTGGGGGGATGGGTGAGGCATAATGATAAAGGCGTCGGGCCTGGGGAATAAAACTCCGCATACAGAGGAGGAATTCGTGAACCATGAACTTTCCAGATGATCTAAGGAAATTAAAACATCGCGTCAAATAAGTTCAGAAGGCAGCACGAACTTTTAACGCCGCAAATGCGGGCATGGGCCAACTAGTGCCAAGAATAATGGAACACATTTGCATGGAATAGTTACCTGGTGTGGCAAGTCAACGATCGCCCAGCAATTCTCCTGTCACTGTACACGGACATACAAACACACCCACGACACATTTAGACAACAGCAACAACAGCCCCTGTCGAATCACCACTAAAATGATGGTGACGTCACAATGGTGCTTTGCAAGGCTAAGTGCACGTTGACTGGGTCAGGTGATATGTGGAAGGCACTTGATGCTGGCAGGTCATGGTTACAAACCGAGCTGCTATATACTGACTGACTGAGATGACTTGCAGATGTTCTCATCACTGTGTTAACTTACCACATTTTATCATCCATGTGGTTGCTCTGGTCATTGTTGTGAGCGTTACCCTCTATTGTTGTCGTTCGGGGACAATAACCTTCATGTGTTCTCTAATCCACGTGTCCCTCCACTGTGTCGAGGAATGTGCATCTCTACACTTTTAATCGCTTTGCCACAAATCCACCCAGAAGCTTCAATACTCTATTTTGGAAGGTTATACTCGGTTCGGGAGGTTTGGCTATTATTTTCTCAAGTTTGAGGATCTCTGCATAGGTCTGAGTTTTTGTAAGTCTATGGATGTCTGGGAACAGTTATGGGTCTCTCGAGAAGTGTTTTGGGAGTCTGGGTAGGTGTATGAGTCTCTGTCTTAGTGTACGGGTCTCTGCATGAGCCTATGGTGTCTCTGCGACCTTCACTTACCGGTGACGACCTAGATGGCACCAACAAAAGGCGCCAACGGGGCAGCTGCATACACAGCACATATCGCAGTACAAAGGTTAACGGAGATTCACGTTTGAGAGTAAATGACGCATACAACAGTCAACGAGCACAGTCCTTAATACACGCATTAAACAACACTCCGTAGCTGAGCTGTATAAACGAAGGAACATTTATGCGCCGGGAATTTGCCGGCGGGAAAGAGAAACCCTCACCGATTTTGCCTTTCACCGCGTGAGGAGCCACCACACCAGCGCCAATGCCGAGGGGGTAGCCGAGTCCGCCGAGGGCTGCAAACAACACACACAGGATGGAGGGTTAATGGTGCTTAAACATTAAACCTCGCCCAGCACGTTTCGAATTAGCACGGTTTGCAACGTACGGGTGTGATAGTTGTTCTAACATACACACGCTCGCAGCGGCTTTTGGCTGGCCATCGAACAAAGACCGTCACCGCATCATCGCGCGGCCCTTTCAGATGCACTCTTGCGGCCATTTGCAACGCTCTTCCGATATTAGGAAGTCACTGGAGGCATGGTAATTTTACATCATCTAGATTGAAAACTGATTTCTTGCGAACTGCTTCTCGTCTTTAGTTGTCCTTCCTCCACACCTCCGATTAGCACAGTTGGCTAGGTACGTGTTTTGTGTTTTGACTTAAAACTGCAGGAATTCATATTCTTGGTTATTTCGGTAAAATCACGTAGATATAAAAAAATATGAAAACGAAAAGTAAATTTAATTAAATTACGAGGTTTCGATCACAACACAAGCGATCGTCATTGCTTGTGTTGTGATCGAAACGTCATTTTTATTCCACAAAATACTCATGGCCCAACTACCGTCTTGTCATCGGTTGCTGTTGCTTTAACCTCGGACAAACTACCGGTTAGGTTTCATTATAAAACAACAACAGTGGTTGTTGAAATTAATGATATCGATGATGATCGTTAAAGATTAGACTATTTAAATCCCCATACACCACCAACGCAACATTCCCGAACGTTTGAGCCTTTGCGTTTTGAAGCGAAAAATATTCCGCACAAATAGAACCGGTCGCTACTGAATTAACGTGGCAATAACTTTACATAACCAATTATACCAGCCCTTGACACCCGGTCCATGCTTGGCGGTTTGTCGCCCAATCTAAGAGCTATCCAGGCTCTAGATCTGCTTAACTTCTGAGATATGATTTCATTGGGGAAATGCAGTTCTGCATCTCTTCACCCGGAAATATGAAATGGGCTTGGCACAATTTTTGCCGATCGCCAGATTGCGTGCGGTGGAGGGGAACTGTGAGAAGTGACTCCCACCTCCGTGAACTCCTACGTTCCGGCATTGAAAATTAGACCGGATAAATCAAATATCCTGTATAGCTCACCTCTCATTGAGGCACCTGCCACCAGTGGCAGTTGTATTGCTGCACCTTCATCCATGATGAGAATAAGAATAGGATTTGGCGTCCTCTGGTCTAACACTGTGTTTGAGACTAAGCTCTAAAGAAAGCTTTCTCTGGTGTGGACCAATCAGTTTCAAAGACAATGCATCATATATTTTCAGAACATGTTTTTTGTTTGTATTTTCACCACAAGAACATGTGGTTAATGCAGACATAATTCCTTGCAAAAGGTTTAAGTTTGGTGTTTTAACATCTTAACATCTGTTTTGTTGCCAGAAAAAATGGGAAAACATATTCTTCAGAATAGGATTTATCCTTATTCCTATACATACATTTTTCCACTCCCCTCTACCGTAATAGATTCAATATTGACTGCAATCATGGCAAACCAATTTTGCTCGTGACTCACGTTCATCTTTGGGTGTCGTGGTGATGGTGTTAGTAGGGGAGGGGATTTAAAGATTTAATTCAAACAATTAGGTAGGGGTGGGGGACACATGCAAGGGCATGCACGTGCAGCATACCCACCGCGGTGATAGGGGGTGCATGGTATCCGAGCCCACCATAAGGGTGAACGAGCTCAGCTGCTAGGGAAAGACAGTTCTGTGTTTAATGGGCGGGGGGGAAGAGATTCGATGTGAGGTTGACAGGGGATTGATGTGAAACGGTGGTTGAGATGTTAACTACCTCGCCTGGTATAGAGGAGGTCATGGGTTCGATTCCGACCCAGACGATGCATGTTGTATATTTGGAGTTTGTGTGTTCTCCCCCGTGGTGGTCACATGGGGGTTTTATTTCACCTCCACATTTAGAAACATGCGTTCAGAGTCTTTGCCTGATTTAATTTTCCACATTTCGTTGGGCTATCGTTTGTGGCCAGGTCGCTTCTGAAAAATAGCTGCATATCTTAGTGGGTCTACCAACCGCTCTGCTTTGACTGGTCCAGATGGGTCGAGTGGGCGTGGCTGTCCGAAGAGGGCGGGTGCTGATGTTCGTTTAGAGAGCAGCTGAGCCTAACTGACCAGGTGGCTCCGCCATAGAGCTGAGCAGCTCGCAATCATGAAGTTGAGAGTTAAAATCTTGGTTGATGGCTAAAACAAGTACACTTAGTAGGGAAGATCAACAGTGGTTTGTCGTGTGAATCAAATCTCCCCTTGCCATGGGAGTGTGGAATTTCCAATGCTAATTTGACCTTGACTTGTTTTGTACGGGTGGTCGAGTGTGTGGCATAGTGTATGGATCTGTTACCAGCATGGTGCGTGTAGGCACCTCCAAGGGCCGCTCCGTGATAGCCGAGACCACCATAGCCCAGACCACCATAGCCCAGACCTCCATAGCCCAGACCTCCATAGCCCAGACCTCCATAGCCCAGGCCTCCATAGCCTAGGCCTCCATAGCCCAGGCCTCCATAGCCCAGGCCTCCTATAATAGCGAGAGGGAATAGAATGGAGAATGTGGGTTCAGGCTCTATCATGCGTTGCATATAGATGTATATAGAACAGGATTATTCGTGAGACTGATGTGAGTAAAATGGGCCAACGCTTTACCCACTATAAGTTGTCCACGGGTTAACGATGAGACATCGGGAGGTAGGGAGACACATTGTAAAAAAAACACGTTCAAATGCGTACACAAATGAGAGTTTATGTGCATGTAAGAATGTGTGTTTGTGAGCATGTGTGAGTGGGTGCATGAAAATGCGAGTGAGTATTAGGATGTGAGCGACTATGTACGCGTGAGAATATGAGCGTGCGTGTTGGCCTGTGGCCACATTTAAACAATTAAGATTCTGCCGACTGCTGAACTATGCTGCCTGCTGGCCTATGCTTTCATTTCTTTGAATGGTCCCTCCTTTATATGGGTTGTGTGTGTGTGTTTTTAACATGTCGCCATTTTTTTCAAGTTACAGGTTTTTATTTATTTAATTGGAGGTCACTTATTTGGGCTTTCTCATCATGCCCCGTCATCCACATGTCTATTTAGATTTTAGACCATGCAACACGTTAACTAAAATCGCCTTAGAGCAATATAATATACGATATGACTGTCACTATGTTGAACATCTTTCGCACCCTTCATAGCCAACCGTGTTAATCGAAGGTTCGAGCCATCATAACCGCACTAATTGGGCACTCCATTCATTCACATTTTTCCAATGCACTGGCAACAGCACTGTTTAGACCGTTTCGCATTGTGATTCAGTGAGTGAGTGTAGTGGCGCTGAGTTGTAATGAATCTCACTCACCCACAGGGTGGCCCAGGAATCCCGTAGATACAGTGCTCACAGTCTGCTTGCCAACGACAGCTGTGGCAAGGCAGAGACACGCACGCAACACAAATAGACACAGAGACAAAAACAATCCCCTTCATTGCCTGCATAGCATGTTAGAGCAAGTGCTGTTAGAAGGCATAACAGCCTTGGTCTCCCCACTGGTGATGTCCATACACTGACCCCTACAATTATTTTTAATGATGAGTGAAAGAAAGGCCCAGGACCAGTTCAAATATTCTCCACCGTTATTAGTTGTGAGTGGGAATCGAACTTAGGTCACCGGTTTATAGCACAGTGCGCTACACACTACACCACATTGCTCCCACAAGGATTCCCCCTATAGCCTTAAACTGTTGGGGCAAGTGTTGTTCACGAGTAGTAATTATTTAGGTAGGTAACGGCACACAAGCGGGTAAATGACCAGCACCACAGAAATCAAAAAGGTTAAGACAGCCATAGAAGCATACACACGGACACACAAATAGATGCACAGACTTAATCTTTTTTTTATTTTACCATGTAAGGTCGACTGAGCTATATAGCTCTTTTTTAGAAGCGACCTGGTCACGATTGATAGCTTAACAAAGTGGCTGATGTGGAAATGTATAGCAGCAGCCAAACACTCTAAACACATGTTTCTGAATGTGGAGGGGAAAATTAGAGAACCTGGATAAAAATCCTCACCACCACACAGACTCGCACAGAGACATCCATAGACACTCAAAGTCAGACGCAGTCTCGCACTCACAGAGATCCACAGATAGACACACAAAAATACAGACTCACACTCACACAGAGATTCCATCCAACTTACGCGTCGCAGTGGCGAGGTGAAAGAGGGCGAGGACGAGGAGAGCTTGAATAGCGGCGGCCATTTTGCTTTCGGGGTTTTCTGCTTTCGCTGTCGACGACAAGAAAGAAGGGCTTGAGTTGAGGCTGATGAAGCTTCACTTCGGAGTGACGAGCCTGGAGTTTGAGCCCCAGCTTTTAAAGGCAGCAACCAGGGGATGGCTTGGCTTTGACCCAGCCAAGACAAGACCTAGCCTCAATAGCTCCAGTGTAGCGCTGGCAAACGACAAAAGCAAACAACCGCGTCTATTTCCTGTCAAAATACGGGAGGCATTGAAGACTCTCCAAATATTGATGGGGTTTTGGGTTTTTTTTACTTCAGTTTCAGTACATTTCCACTCGATACCACTAAATGTTTCATTTGCCTCGATATTAAACTCAAACTAAATTATTATTTTTTACCAGGTAAGGTCCACTGATAATATGGCTCTTTTTCAGAAGCAACCTGGCCATCACAAATGATAGTACAACGAAGTGGCTGATGAAGCGGTCTACAGGGTACGGTGGTGGAGGCGACGGCTGAGAGACGACGGATAATGAGAAAGGATGAACGATGCTGTGGACGACGCAAGTATGGGATTGAGGTGACGCAAATCGGGGAGCGGTATTCATAAAGTGATGAAGTCTTGGCGAAACGATGCAAAAGGGGGAGATGTGAATCGAGGTATTATTGTTTTAGGAAATCATCCAAATTGAATGAGACCAGCAGGGGACGTGGACAAGAATGTGTGTATGAATGATTTGGAGCTTTCGTGACTGCAGGAACTGTGACTTTACTGAAAAAACCAAAGCGTGTGTATGTATGTTGAACTTCTTCTGCACCGTACGTTTGAAAACGTGCTAATTAGAGGTGCGAGGGAAGGACAATCAACTAAACACGAAAAGCAGTTCTCTAGAAATTGGTTATCAATCGAGATTTAAGAGCGCACAGCTCCCAGTGCTTTCCTAGTATCGGAATAGTGTTCCAGACGGCTGCAGAAGCAAGCATGCCTCTGTTGCCGGCTGCTGTTATTTCGTATCTTTTTCACCCTTTTATATAGTAATCTATTTCATTTCATTGATCTTAATATTAGTTTTGCACTAGTTTTTAGGGGGGGTGGGTTTGCTTTTAACCATTCAACTCACAACCTGACTTGGCCTTCTGTAACCGCCACCACGCACAACCTGTTTTTCCTGGCCACCGTTCATCACGCATAAACACACATTCTGTGTATATGTACACATACTTTTATAAGCTTATATTTACTTTCACATTTAAAAAAAGTTTATTTTTTATTTTTTCAGGTAAGACGCACTGAGCGAGGTAGCACTTTTTCAGAAGTGACGTGCCCACAAATGATTGGCTAATGAAGTGGCTTAACACGTGTAAAACTGTAGCAGCAGCCACTCGAAACGCATGTTTCTTAATGCGGAGGGAAAAACTAGAGAACCTGGATAAAAAAAATCCACGACCACGGGGAGAACATGCAAACTCCAAATATACAGGCATTAGGGTCGAGATCGAGCCCACGATTTCCTGTGTACAAGGCGAGGTAGTTAACAGCTTGCCACATACACCGATTCAGATGAATTCTGACACACACGCACATAGAGCATACACAGACATATACATGCAAATATATATTCGCATGAGCTTTGTACATTAATTAGACAAAGCTCCCCCGTATAGCCTTAACAGATTGTTGGGGCAAGTGCTGTTAGCGAGCACTTGTCGGCCCACATCGCACACGAGGGAGTTTGTGGCCAACACTTCCGACCGCCTTTGTCTCCACCAGTGGCAACGTTTTTATAGTGCACATCACTAATTAAAACATACACATGAACACACCAACGCATATATACAGTACGGTCATATTTCCAAATGCACACACGTAAAGTATATTCACACGACAAAGACACGCAGTCCTATGTTCACTGAATCCACAACATTTACAACACCAGCGAGTGCCGAAGTAACTTAATACGTTTCGTTTGCGTGACAAACCCGTTAACGTATTCTGTCGGCTGGTGGTGGGTTAACGAGACATTCATATTTCTTGGTTCTTTCGGTAAAGTCGCGTGGAAGGAAAATAATAAAATAAAATAAATTCTCACGACGTTTCAGCCACAACGCAAGCAGCCGTCTTTAGGTGGAGAACAGGTCTGTCGAGAAAGCAGAGTCTAAATGAGACATTCATATTCAAGGGATCTAACCCCCAAAACAGACTTTATTATTTGGCCTGAATGTTAAACCGAACAAAGCTGGGGATTTTATTTCAGTCCATCGGTGCCCAGTAGTATTCGTCTTGTCCTGCATCTCGCCGCCGTTGCGTTCTCGGTGAGTAATTGACAGGGTCTGTCGCGTGCCACGTCACGTGATGCAAACGGCGACTCGGGGATTGGCTCCTGAGCCACACGTGCACGTGTATAGGCCACGCCCAGACAGGCACCTGCACGGATTCATGCTCAAGCGGTTTGGCTGCAGCAACCCGTACAAAATTACTGGACATTGATACTTATTAATATTGTCAAATTAAAATATCTCAATAAAAAGCAATGCTGACTGTTGATTTTATTGAGTAGCGACATCTGTTGGGTCGTTCTTGTGTTCCGGCATTAATCATATTTCACCCTTTCCCCCTGTGATGCAAGAGAGGTTTGAAAGGCATAATGAATGGATGAATATATGTGCTCATAGTCGATTCTGGGCATTTGAATGTGCAGCTCTGGCGATTTTTGGCAGCGGCGGTCTCAAAATGGTTGACTATGTACACTGCAAAATAATTTCAACATACTGTCCATCCACAAAGCACCTCTTTGCTTGATTCAGTCTATGGGAGGATTGAGCAGCGTGATGTTGCTTGGCGTTTGGGCCGATGTGGTGTCTCTTGGCAACTTGCAGGGACGAGATCTGAACTTTCGATGTTTATTTTTGTGTAATTGGCTGGGCCTCGTTTTTTGGCCCCCAAAGTGTTTCAAAACTAAAAGGCGTCCGAGATCCCCCTCAATGGCCGCCTTTGTTGAATTACGTTCACAAGCATCAATAACTTCTTTGTTGTTGGTCAATCGGAGGTGAATGCAGGCGTATACAGTAATCGGAAGGTGATTAATACATTATGGTTTGTGAACAAACAAAAAAACAGGCCATTATTCGGGTTAAATTCTTTTTATTTTATGTATTTTCAGTTTTTAAATCCTTTATATTAAGTTCACTTGCTTGCGCGCTTGCGCGCTTACGACCGTGCAAATCTTTCGGTCGTTTTTTAACCCACTTCCCGTTATCCAATCGAGCCGACATTTTGCACACAGACTCGTTGCGTGACAATTTATTTTCGTGAAAATGTTTTTCCATAACTTTACACTTTTTAGGATTTTTTTTAATATTTAATTACCAATTGCTTAATGGTGGCAGGCAATCATCTGACCCATAGGTGGCAGCCATCTCAAGCCAGAGGACGAGAGGACTCTAGCCGTCACGCATATAAAGGATTTATAGTGAGAAACTTTGTTTTTACGGGTTAATTTTTCATTTTTAAACTGCACAGAATGGCCGCCCTGTATCCTCGGACTTGGAATTCAGATTAATGCGTTGATGGGTACAGAATACTTTCATTGTTGATTCAGATAATGAAAAGGGTAGTTTATGTATTCGTTATCAGAACACTATTATTTGTCTCACACTATTATTTGTCTCATTTCCTTGAGCTGTGATCTGTGATAGCCAGGTTGCTCAGTCGGTCTTACTTGATAATGTAAAAATGGTTAATGTTTTAGATACAAAAGTGACTCAGGAGAGTACTTTTTTGAATAAAGTGTTAGCAATTGACATTTTGCTTGAACGCCTTATTATTTATATATTTGTGTATGTAAAAAACGCCGCGGTCCCTAAACTGTGGAATCGGCTCGCACAAAAACAGGCGCCACGTGTCTCAGGCGCCATTGACGTACTTCTCGACCGTTCGTTAATCGAACCGTTGTTTTCAAAAACTTTTTAAATAAGTTTATTTCTACCCCACGCCGACATTTCCATTGTGTGGTTTAGCATGATGGCTTTGGGCAGCAGAGAACACAGGAAAACTCGTAGTAAAAACATTTCTTTAAAACTGATTTTGTATTTGGTTTCTTGTTCTTCTCAGCATCCTGCGATTTGTATGGTTGGCTACCTACCGTCTGAACGAAGTTAAAATACACACGTACATAGGGCAGTGTCTCATCGTCACAATCTATTGGTCCGAATGGTGGGGGCATCTATGAACGTAGCAAAAAAATAATCGACCACACAACCGTGGAAGTAACCGGGAATCCTTTGTCTTTGACGACAGCTATGGACCCACACTGAACCGCGCTCGGAAGCAAGCACGGGAGACGCTCGGCGTACACGTCGTTCCATGAATAGAAAATGTCAAAGAATCGCCAAACTGCGACCGTGGTGAAGCACCAAACCGTCAAACCCATAGCCGAAGAGTTGCACCTTCCACTCCACACCCTGTCGGTATTGCTGAAATCCGTACAGCAGCTACTGCTGCCATGGAATAATTGAAAAACCTTGACGTTCAACTAAGACATCATCTGTACAAACTGTTGCTTCCAATGTCCCCCATGCCTCCCATGATGTACGAAAGAAGATATTGACTTAAAGCTTTCGTGACTGCAGAAATTAATATTTGCATCTTTCGGTAAAGTCACGTAGATAAGTAAAATTAATAAAACTACGTTTCCATCGCAACACAAGTGGTCGTCATCAGGCGGAGAGAAAAAAACAATTCACGTAGATAGGTTCAAATTGATAAAAAATAAATAGTTTTTTGTTTATTTAATTTGATCCAAGGGCAGAGGTCCCATAATGGGTGTCTTCCTCTTTCTGGTTCCTTCAATTTTGCCTAACATAATTTACATTTTCCTTTTGTCCATCCTCATGTGTGTCCGGATAGTGCAAGTTTCCTTCTCATTACTGCCTGCATCATCAATTCGTCTTCTTTTATGTGCGATCCTTTTCTTACTTCGACATTGGTTACTCTATGGCTCCAGTTTAGACGCAGTATCCTGTAGCAATATATTGCAAATGCCAATAGAATCAGAATCTTTATTTAGACTAGAGGAATGGATCAGCTATGAAGCTCTTTTTCACATAAGTCCAATAAGGGCGGATCAGCATATTACCTAAAGTTAGAGACTACAGGCGTGAAGCCTCAGTGCTGGTCTCCCAGCATATCGCCATAATGGCAGTATGTTAACTACCTTGCCTGGTATACAGGAGGATGTGGGTTCGATCCCGACTCTTAACGACTGTATATTTGAAGTTTGCATGTTCTGCCCATGCTTGCATGGATTTATCTCTGATTCCTCTGGTTTTTCCCTTTCATAGAATTCTTGTGAAGCTAATGTGCTGTGTGGCTATGCTGAATCTGTGCAAGCTGTATCTGTAATTCAAGCCGTAACAGTTTAACTGCACTGAAGATTCTGGGTGACCAGGTGTCTGGCAGGTTAATCTTTTTTATATGTGAATGGACTAGAAGGTAAACAGTTTACTACTGTGTACGATTTCCATACTTTGGTTGCTTTGGTTAACGATTGGGTCATGTGAGAGTTGGTGTGTAACAATGTACTTCACGCACCCGTTTGCATGCACATACACGGTAGTTGGTTTATGACGCAATGGCACGCGTAAGGGCATTGAGTACAGATTTTTATTTTAATCCGGAACACAAGAAGGACGTTTCACAGAACATACCCACCCAAGTCGCGTCGGATCAATCCAGAACTTAACAACCTTCATCATACTATCCAACAGACACCTGTCCCATCTCATCGGCCGAGGAATTCAATCGTTAAGCCACTCGTAACTTAACATCCGTTATCCACAGTGCAACTGACTTCCTGGCCAATGAAATCATAATCGTGAATGACAAAACCACGACAGCTGTTAATGACACTTGGCGTGAGCAGACACACATAATCCGGTGTCGAAAATTTTCGACCGACCACTATCAAACGTTTTGGGGTCAAAGTCAACCAGATATTTGACCCACAATGATCTCTAATTCTTGGAAGGAGGATTTGGAGGTGTCCTCACTTCACGACCGGTTAAAACAAAACTCTGGAGCTGACAAGAGCTAAGTAACGATAGGTGTATACTCAGTGCAGGGGGAGGGGGGCACACACAGAGATGGGGAGGGGCGTTTGTAACCCAGATATCATTCGTGTATTTATATTAATCTGTGAATCAAACTCCCATTGGCGTTGCACCCACCATCCCAATCCAGCTGATTTATTTTTGGTTACCTGTCCAGTCGAACAGTCGATTCCTAAGTCCCATTATGATTAAAATGTTAATATATTTTCTTTAACAGCTTTCATCACAGACTAATTTCAGCCGCCCAATTTATTTACTCCCCCAAATTTCAGAATCGGAATCCGTGTGCGTGCTTCCCTCGCCACCAGATATATTTTTTTTACGATTAATGTCAGGGTTTTAAAAAAAGAATATATATATTTTTTGCTATTCGTGGTAGATTTTGTTTTCCTGGTCGTGTTCATTCATCGTCATTTGTGTTAATGCCAAGAAGTTCAGAAAAACATTATGGACAGACGCCAGCAAACCCGCCCACCCACTTGCATCACGACACTCACTCTGTCACACGATGACACACTCATGCACTCAAGGGTCCGAATGGCGTAATTTGCAGGAAATTGGCATAGGAGTAGGGGGTGAGGAACTTAATGAACGGCGAAAAGATAGTATTGCACCGATGATGAGAATTTGTGTAAGAGTCAAGGGCTTGGGTAGGATGGGTGGGTCAGTCGGTATGAATGGGCAGGTATGGGAGGGGAGTAGGTGGTGAACCTATGCTCCCGTTGGTGGGTGGTGGTTGGCGGAGGCTGTCCATAACCTTCCTCAAGTCACTTCTTCACCGGAGTCTTGAGTCACTTCCGCAGGTACCACTTGTTTGAAGTGACTGCAGATGGGACGCAGGGCTGGGCAGGAAATTGGCATAGGAGTAGGGGGTGAGGAACTTAATGAACGGCGAAAAGATAGTATTGCACCGATGATGAGAATTTGTGTAAGAGTCAAGGGCTTGGGTAGGATGGGTGGGTCAGTCGGTATGAATGGGCAGGTATGGGAGGGGAGTAGGTGGTGAACCTATGCTCCCGTTGGTGGGTGGTGGTTGGCGGAGGCTGTCCATAACCTTCCTCAAGTCACTTCTTCACCGGAGTCTTGAGTCACTTCCGCAGGTACCACTTGTTTGAAGTGACTGCAGATGGGACGCAGGGCTGGGCACAGACGCGCACGCATCACAGATCATTAAATTGCACTCAGCAAACGTAGTCTGCCTTCATAGCCAGTATTATAAATCATGAATCTGTGGGTTAGGCCCACACAAAGATCGGACCAAACCTGTATCTCTAAGAATATTTTAAGAACCCTTCACCACTGGAGCTATAAACTTTTAAATCATCTAGATTTATAACGCATTTCTTTAGAACAGCTTTTTGTGTTCAGTTGGTTGTCCTTCCGCGCTTCCGATGAGCGCGGTTGGCTACGTACGGCGCCAAAGAAGTTCAACATATACATAATACGTGTCCCCTCCCCTCCTTCCACAACCCCGATCATACACTCTAACAATTTCTCACTGAAATCGACTCGGGTTTAGCCCAGAGTTTGCTAGTTCCCACGTGGGGTGAAAACTAATTGCCACTTCCTTTTAAAAGAACAAGCCATGCTTGTGTCTGGGGGAATGGGTGAGGCATAATGATAAAGGCGTCGGGCCTGGGGAATAAAACTCCGCATACAGAGGAGGAATTCGTGAACCACGAACTTTCCAGATGATCTAAGGAAATTAAAACATCGCGTCAAATAAGTTCAGAAGGCAGCACGAACTTTTAACGCCGCAAATGCGGGCATGGGCCAACTAGTGCCAAGAATAATGGAACACATTTGCATGGAATAGTTACCTGGTGTGGCAAGTCAACGATCGCCCAGCAATTCTCCTGTCACTGTGCACGGACATACAAACACACCCACGACACATTTAGACAACAGCAACAACAGCCCCTGTCGAATCACCACTAAAATGATGGTGACGTCACAATGGTGCTTTGCAAGGCTAAGTGCACGTTGACTGGGTCAGGTGATATGTGGAAGGCACTTGATGCTGGCAGGTCATGGTTACAAACCGAGCTGCTATGTACTGACTGACTGAGATGACTTGCAGATATTCTCATCACTGTGTTAACTTACCACATTTTATCATCCATGTGGTTGCTCTGGTCATTGTTGTGAGCGTTACCCTCTATTGTTGTCGTTCGGGGACAATAACCTTCATGTGTTCTCTAATCCACGTGTCCCTCCACTGTGTCGAGGAATGTGCATCTCTACACTTTTAATCGCTTTGCCACAAATCCACCCAGAAGCTTCAATACTCTATTTTGGAAGGTTATACTCGGTTCGGGAGGTTTGGCTATTATTTTCTCAAGTTTGAGGATCTCTGTATAGGTCTGAGTTTTTGTAAGTGTATGGATGTCTGGGAACAGTTATTGGTCTCTCGAGAAGTGTTTTGGGAGTCTGGGTAGGTGTATGAGTCTCTGTCTTAGTGTACGGGTCTCTGCATGAGCCTATGGTGTCTCTGCGACCTTCACTTACCGGTGACGACCTAGATGGCACCAACAAAAGGCGCCAACGGGGCAGCTGCATACACAGCACATATCGCAGTACAAAGGTTAACGGAGATTCACGTTTGAGAGTAAATGACGCATCCAACAGTCAACGAGCACAGTCCTTAATACACGCATTAAACAACACTCCGTAGCTGAGCTGTATAAACGAAGGAACATTTATGCGTCGGGAATTTGCCGGCGGGAAAGAGAAACCCTCACCGATTTTGCCTTTCACCGCGTGAGGAGCCACCACACCGGCGCCAATGCCGAGGGGGTAGCCGAGTCCGCCGAGGGCTGCAAACAACACACACAGGATGGAGGGTTAAATGGTGGTTAAACGTTAAACCTCGCCCAGCACGTTTCGAATTAGCACGGTTTGCAACGTACGGGTGTGATAGTTGTTCTAACATACACACGCTCGCAGCGGCTTTTGGCTGGCCATCGAACAAGGACCGTCACCGCATCATCGCGCGGCCCTTTCAGATGCGCTCTTGCGGCCATTTGCAACGCTCTTCCGATATTAGGAAGCCACTGGAGCCATGGTAATTTTACATCATCTAGATTGAAAACTGATTTCTTGCGAACTGCTTCTCGTCTTTAGTTGTCCTTCCTCCACACCTCCGATTAGCACAGTTGGCTAGGTACGTTTTTTGTGTTTTGACTTAAAACTGCAGGAATTCATATTCTTGGTTATTTCGGTAAAGTAATGTAGATATAAAAAAATATAAAAACGAAAAGTAAATTAAATTAAATTATGAGGTTTCGATCACAACACAAGCGATCGTCATTGCTTGTGTTGTGATCGAAACGTCATTTTTATTCCACAAAATACTCACGGTCCAACTACCGTCTTGTCATCGGTTGCTGTTGCTTTAACCTCGGACAAACTACCGGTTAGGTTTCATTATAAAACAACAACAGTGGTTGTTAAAATTAATGATATCGATGATGATCGTTAAAGATTAGACTATTTAAATCCCCATACACCACCGACGCAACATTCCCGAACGTTTGAGCCTTTGCGTTTTGAAGCGAAAATATTCCGCACAAATAGAACCGGTCACTACTGAATTAACGTGGCAATAACTTTACAGAAACAATTATAACAGCGTTTGACACCCGGTCCATGCTTGGCGGTTTGTCGCCCAATCAAAGAGCTATCCAGGCTCAAGATCTGCTTAACTTCTAAGATATGATTTCATTGGGGAAGTGCAGTTCTGCATCTCTTCACCCGGAAATATGAAATGGGCTCGGCACAGTTTTTGCCGATCGCCAGATTGCGTGCGGTGGAGGGGAACTGTGGGAAGTGACTCCCACCTCTGTAAACTCCTACGTTCCGGCATTGAAAATTAGACCGGATAAATCAAATATCCTGTAGAGCTCACCTCTCATTGAGGCACCTGCCACCAGTGGCAGTTGTATTGCTGCACCTTCATCCATGATGAGAATAAGAATAGGATTTAGCATCCTCTGGTCTAACAATGTTTGAGACTAAGCTCTAAAGAAAGCTTTCTCTGGTGTGGACCAATCAGTTTCAAAGACAATGCATCATATATTTTCAGAGCATGTTTTTTGTTCGTATTTCCACCACAAGAACATGTGGTTAATGCAGACATAATTCCTTGCAAAAGGTTTAAGTTTGGTGTTTTAACATCTTAACATCTGTTTTGTTGCCAGAAAAAATGGGAAAACCTATTCTTCAGAATAGGATTTATCCTTATTCCTATACATACATTTTTCCACTCCCTTCTACCGTAATAGATTCAATGTTGCCTGCAATCATGGCAAACCAATTTTGCTCGTGACTCACGTTCATCTTTGGGTGTCGTGGTGATGGTGTTAGTAGGGGAGGGGATTTTAAGATTTAATTCAAACAATTAGGTAGGGGTGGGGGGCACATGCAAGGGCATGCACGTGCAGCATACCCACCGCAGTGATAGGGGGTGCATGGTATCCGAGCCCACCATAAGGGTGAACGAGCTCAGCTGCCAGGGAAAGACAGTTCTGTGTTTAATGGGCGGGGGGAAGAGATTCGATGTGAGGTTGACAGGGGATTGATGTGAAACGGTGGTTGAGATGTTAACAACCTCGCCTGGTATAGAGGAGGTCATGGGTTCGATTCCGACCCAGACGATGCATGTTGTATATTTGGAGTTTGTGTGTTCTCCCCCGTGGTGGTCACGTGGGGGTTTTATTTCACCTCCACATTTAGAAACATGCGTTCAGAGTGTTTGCCTGATTTAATTTTCCATATTTCGTTGGGCTATCGTTTGTGGCCAGGTCGCTTCTGAAAAATAGCTGAATATCTTAGTGGGTCTACCAACCGCTCTGCTTTGACTGGTCCAGATGGGTCGAGTGGGCGTGGCTGTCCGAAGAGGGCGGGTGCTGATGTTCGTTTAGAGAGCAGCTGAGCCTAACTGACCAGGTGGCTCCGCCATAGAGCTGAGCAGCTCGCAATCATGAAGTTGAGAGTTAAAATCTTGGTTGATGGCTAAAACAAGTACACTTAGTAGGGAAGATCAACAGTGGTTTGTCGTGTGAATCAACTCTCCCCTTGCCATGGGAGTGTGGAATTTCCAATGCTAATTTGACCATGACTTGTTTTGTACGGGTGGTCGAGTGTGTGGCATAGTGTATGGATCTGTTACCAGCATGGTGCGTGTAGGCACCTCCAAGGGCCGCTCCGTGATAGCCGAGACCACCATAGCCCAGACCACCATAGCCCAGACCTCCATAGCCCAGACCTCCATAGCCCAGACCTCCATAGCCCAGGCCTCCATAGCCTAGGCCTCCATAGCCCAGGCCTCCATAGCCCAGGCCTCCTATAATAGCGAGAGGGTATTGAATGGAGAATGTGGGTTCAGGCTCTATCATGCGTTGCATATAGATGTATATAGAACAGGGTTATTCGTGAGACTGATGTGAGTAAAATGGGCCAACGCTTTACCCACTATAAGTTGTCCACGGGTTAACGATGAGACATCGGGAGGTAGGGAGACACATTGTAAAAAAAACACGTTCAAATGCGTACACAAATTAGAGTTCATGTGCATGTAAGAATGTGTGTTTGTGAGCATGTGTGAGTGGGTGCATGAAAATGTGAGTATTAGGATGTGAGCAACTATGTACGCGTGAGAATATGAGTGCGTGTTGGCCTGTGGCCACATTTAAAGAATTAAGATTCTGACGACTGCTGAACTATGCTGTCTGCTGGCCTATGCTTTCATTTCTTTGGGTTATGTGTGTGTTTTTAACATGTCGCCATTTTTTTGCAATTGGAGGTCACTTATTTGGGCTTTCTCCTCATGCCCCGTCATCAACATGTCTATTTAGATTTTAGACCATGCAACACGTTAACTAAAATCGCCTTAGAGCAATATAATATACGATATGACTCTGTCACTATGTTGAACATCTTTCGCACCCTACAGAGCCAACCGTGTTAATCGAAGGTTCGAGCCATCATAACCGCACTAATTGGGCACTCCATTCACATTTTTCCAATGCACTGGCAACAGCACTGTTTATACCGTTTCGCATTGTGATTCAGTGAGTGAGTGTAGTGGATCTGAGTTGTAATGAACCTCACTCACCCACAGGGTGGCCCAGGAATCCCGTAGATACAGTGCTCACAGTCTGCTTGCCAACGACAGCTGTGGCAAGGCAGAGACACGCACGCAACACAAATAGACACAGACAAAAACAATCCCCTTCATTGCCTACATAGCATATTGGGGCAAGTGCTGTTAAAAGACATAACGGCCAGGAGTCTTTGTCTCCCCACTGGTGGTGTTCATACACTGACCCCTACAATTAATTTTAATGATGAGTGAAAGAAAGGCCCAGGACCAGTTCATATATTCTCCACCGTTATTAGTTGTGAGTGGGAATCGAACTTAGGTCACCGGTTTATAGCACAGTGCGCTACACACTACACCACATTGCTCCCACAAGGATTCCCCCTATAGCCTTAAACTGTTGGGGCAAGTGTTGTTCACGAGTAGTAATTTATTTAGGTAAGTAACGGCACACAAGCAGGTGGATGACCATCACCACAGAAATCAAAAAGGTTAAGACAGCCATAGAAGCGTACACACGGACACACAAATAGATGCACAGACTTAATCTTTTTTTTACCATATAAGGTCGACTGAGCTATGTAGCTCTTTTTCAGAAGCGACCTGGTCACGATTGATAGCTTAACAAAGTGGCTGATGTGGAAATGTATAGCAGCAGCCAAACACTCTAAACACATGTTTCTGAATGTGGAGGGGAAAATTAGAGAACCTGGATAAAAATCCTCACCACCACACAGACTCGCACAGAGACATCCATAGACACTCAAAGTCAGACGCAGTCTCGCACTCACAGAGATCCACAGATAGACACACAAAAATACAGACTCACACTCACACAGAGATTCCATCCAACTTACGCGTCGCAGTGGCGAGGTGAAAGAGGGCGAGGACGAGGAGAGCTTGAATAGCGGCGGCCATTTTGCTTTCGGGGTTTTCTGCTTTCGCTGTCGACGACAAGAAAGAAGGGCTTGAGTTGAGGCTGATGAAGCTTCACTTCGGAGTGACGAGCCTGGAGTTTGAGCCCCAGCTTTTAAAGGCAGCAACCAGGGGCTGGCTTGGCTTTGACCCAGCCAAGACAAGACCGAGCCTCAATAGCTCCAGTGTAGCGTTGGCAAACGCCAAAAGCAAAGCACCGCGTCTGTTTCCTGTCAAAATACGGGAGGCATTTAAGCCTCTCCAAATATTTATGGGGTTTTGGGTTTTTTTTACTTGAGTTTCAGTACATTTCTACTCGACACCACTAAATGTCTCATTTGCCTCGATATTAAACCAAATTATTTTTTACCAGGTAAGGTCCACTGTTAATATGGCTCTTTCAGAAACAACCTGGCCATCACAAATGATAGTACAACGAAGTGGCTGATGAAGCGGTCTACAGGGTAAGGTGGTGGAGGCGAAGGCTGAGAGACGACGGATAATGAGAAAGGATGAACGATGCTGTGGACGACGCAAGTATGGGATTGAGGTGACGCAAATCGGGGAGTGGTATTCATAAAGTGATGACGTCTTAGCGAAACGATGCAAAAGGGGGAGATGTGAATCGAGGTATTATTGTTTTAGGAAATCATCCAAATTAAATGAGACCAGCAGGGGACGTGGACAAGAATGTGTGTATGAATGATTTGGAGCTTTCGTGACTGCAGGAACTGTGACTTTACTGAGAAAACCAAAGCGTGTGTATGTATGTTGAACTTCTTCTGCACCGTACGTTTGAAAACGTGATAATTAGAGGTGCGAGGGAAGGACAATCAACTAAACACGAAAAGGAGTTCTCTAGAAATTGGTTTTCAATCGAGATTTAAGAGCGCACAGCTCTCCCAGTGCTTTCCTAGTATCGGAATAGTGTTCCAGACGGCTGCAGAAGCAAGCATGCCTCTGTTGCCGGCTGCTATTTCGTATATTTTTCACCCTTTTATATAGTAATCTATTTCATTTCATTGATCTTAATATTAGTTTTGCACTAGTTTTTAGGGGGGGGGGGGTGGGTTTGCTTTTAACCATTCAACTCACAACCTGACTTGGCCTTCTGTAACTGCCACCACGCACAACCTGTTTTTCCTGGCCATCGTTCATCACGCATAAACACATTCTGTGTATATGTACACATACTTTTATAAGCTTATGTTTACTTTCACATATTAAAAAAAAGTTTATTTTTTTTTCATTTTTTCAAGTAAGACGCACTGCAAATATATATTCGCATGAGCTTTGTACATTAATTAGACAAAGCTCCCCCGTATAGCCTTAACAGATTGTTGGGGCAAGTGCTGTTAGCGAGCACTTGTCGGCCCACATCGTACACGAGGGAGTTTGTGGCCAACACTTCCGACCGCCTTTGTCTCCACCAGTGGCAACGTTTTTATAGTGCACATCACTAATTAAAACATACACATGGACACACCAACGCGTATATACAGTGCGGTCATATTTCCAAATGCACACACGTAAAGTATATTCACACGACAAAGACACGCAGTCCTATTTTCTCTGAATCCACAACATTTACAACACCAGCGAGTGCCGAAGTAACTTAATTAATACGTTTCGTTTGCGTGACAAACCCGTTAACGTATTCTGTCGGCTGGTGGTGGGTTAACGAGACATTCATATTTCTTCTTGGTTCTTTCGGTAAAGTCGCGTGGAAGGAAAATAATAAAATAAAATAAATTCTCACGACGTTTCGGCCACAACGCAAGCAGCCGTCTTCAGGTGGAGAACAGGTCTGTCGAGAAGGCAGAGTCTGAATGAGACATTCATATTCAAGGGATCTAACCCCCAAAACAGACTTTATTATTTGGCCTGAATGTTAAACCGAACAAAGCTGGGGATTTTATTTCAGTCCATCAGTGCCCAGTAGTATTCGGCTTGTCCTGCATCTTGCTGCCGTTGCGTTCTCGGTGTGTAATTGTCAGGGTCGGTCGCGTGCCACGTCACGTGACGCAAAACGGCGACTCGGGGATTGGCTCCTGAGCCACACGTGCACGTGTATAGGCCACGCCCAGACAGGCACCTGCACGGATTCATGCTCTAGCGGTTTGGCTGCAGAGACCCATACTAAATTACTGGACATCATTGACACTCATTAATATTGTCAAATTAGAATATCTCAATAAAAAGCAATGCTGACTGTTGATTTTATTGAGTAGTGACATCTGTTGGGTCGTTCTTGTGTTCCGGCATTAATCAGATTTCACCCTTTCCCCCTGTGATGCAAGGGAGGCTTGGAAGGCATAATGAATGATGAATATATGTCCTCAGTCGATTCTGGGTATTTGAATGTGCAGCTCTGGCGATTTTTTGCAGCGGCGGTCTCAAAATGGTTGACCACGTACACTGCAAAATAATTTCAACATACTGTCCATCCACAAAGCACCTCTTTGCTTGAGTCAGTCTATGGGAGGATTGAGCAGCGTGATGTTGCTTGGCGTTTGGACCGATGTGGTGTCTCTTGGCAACTTGCAGGGACGAGATCTTAACTTTCGGTGTTTATTTTTGTGTTATTGGCCGGGCCGCGTTTTTTGGCCCCCAAAGTGTATCAAAACAAAATGGCGTCCGAGATCCCCCTCAATGGCCGCCTTTGTTGAATTACGTTCACAAGCATTCAATAACTTCGTTGTTGTTGGTCAATCGGAGGTGAATGGAGGCGTATACAGTAATCAGAAGGTGATTAATAACGTTATGGTTTGTGAACAAATAAAAACATGCCATTCGGGTTCAATTGTATTTTAATTTTTCAGTTTTCATTGTAAAAATGCGTAGAATGGACGCCCTGTAGCCTCGGACTTGAAATTAAGATTAATGCGTTGATGGTTACAGAATACTTTAATTGTTGATTCAGATAAGAAAAAAGTATTTATTTTATGTATTCATTATAACATTATTTGTCTCATTAATAGATGTGTAAAATGATATATTACAAGTAAATTTTTATTAACGTATAATTATAGTGTTTTTGAAGAGTACATCTAGGCGAAACCAATATGGAATGTCTGAGATATACGTGTTAGCATGCATTCAGTGCTGGATCAGTGGGAGCGACTGGGGGAATGAACAGTGGTAGTGTTTGTGGCGTGTCGGCTTATGTCTCTTGGCCACCGTTCCAGAACGCCACGTTGGCAATGAGATGTTAACTACTTTGCCTGGTATACAGAAGATCGTGGCTTCGATACCGACCGACCCTTAGGCCTGCTGCGCATTTGGAGTTGCAAGTTCTCCCCGTGGTCTTTCGGATTTTTTTCTGGTTCCTCCAGATGTAGAATCAACATAACGGGTTTCGAGTATTTGGCTACTGCTCTAAATTTCCACATAAGCCACTTCATTAACCTATCATTTGTTTCTAAATGTCTCTCCCCGTGGTCGCGTGTATTTTTCTACCTGTCCTCCAGTATCCCTCCACATTCATAATCGGCATGTGTTTAATAGTATTTGGCTGCTATAAATTTCCCCGTGACAAGGCACTTCGTTAAACGATTATATTGTGGCCAGGTCGCTTCTGGTAAAGAGCATCATCTCCCAGTGGATGGCCTTGCCTGGTAGAAATAAAAAATAGATACATTTTAGTATGAGTCTCGATGAGCATGGGTCTCAATTGGTCTTCACGGATCTCTGGATTTCTGTGGGTCTCTGGTTATATATGAGTCTTGATCTCCTGGATCTCTGGGTCTCTGAGTTTGTAGAAACATGCATTTAAAGTATTTTGCCGCGATATATGTTCATGTGATAAGTAATTTCCTTGAGCTGTGACCTGTGATAGCCAGGTTGCTCAGTCGTTCTTGATAATGTAAAAATGTTTTAGATACAAAAGTGACTCAGGAGAGTACTTTTGAATAAGTGTTGCATGACCCACTCATGTTTTTTCATCGTGAGGCTGTCCCGTCATATCAAGCAGCCGCATGACGCTGGTTGCAAGAGTACCGGCGCGTCTCGCGTAACAAGCGTTTTTGTTTACGATAATTCGTTATAATGAGCAATTGTAATTTAGCCCTAATTTATTTCACAATATGCGCAAAATGTTCGCTTAGCGAGCGGAGAACGATAGTTCGAATGCCTCCCGTGGCGGTAGAGGGCCCACCGCGGCCCGCAGCTGTTTGTTTTTGGCATAGTTCACTTTCAGATGCGCTTCTGTGGCCGTCTGCAATGCTTTTCCATCCAATATTAGGAACGCACTGGAGCTATGCACCTTTACATAATCTAGATTGAAAACTAATTTCTTTAGAAGTGCTTTTAGTGTTTAGTTTGTTGTCAATGCCCGCGCACCTCGGATTAGCACGGTTGGCTATGTACGATGAGAAAGAAGTTCAACATACACACGTGCTTTTGAGCCCAGACCAGATATTTCACTTGTCGGTACAATATAAGGTGGAATTACTTTAATGGTAACAATTTATTTACGTGGCCAACAACTATATTAATGTGATAACCTATTTTAAATTATTTTAGTTCGCAGTTGATTAACTTGTTTTGGACACATAGCGAAAGCCACGTGTTATACAAATTATTGGTAGCGAAAGCCTACGTGTTAAACTAACCAAAATTCTGCCACCTTCCATGATACCAATGTCTACACTGGTGCGTGGACTAACCGCTTGGGTGCAATTTATTCTTCACCGTTGTGATGAAATGAAGGACCGTGTACTCTCTCTGTGAGTTTGTCGGGGGGGGGGGGGGTTATCTGACACTTGAGATTATTCTTGCTCGACTGGTTCGTTGAACCAACTGTTGACGCCTGACTGAGGCTGCAGCTGGACGTTCTGAAGCAGGACGATTAGTGCTGGATACAGCACAGCCATATTTGCAAATGTGATTCGTCACTTTGATTATTACCCGTGTAGTATATCGATAGTTCAATGGTAATGTGGCATTTTATTGAGGGACTACTGCTGCTGTGTTGTCTTGGTGTGGTCTGGGACTGGTTTGTTGTTGTTTTTGCTGCCTCGCCCAATCTTGATATATCGGACTTATGAATTAACAAAACATAAATTCGTATTCAGTGACTTGTTTACAGTTTTCTATATTTCGCACTGCTATCGTGTTTTTGTATTATTTGTTGTCACTTGCTGACTCATCCACTCTGGACATCTGTGAAAAGAGCTTCACAACTCATCGGATTTCTCCAGTTTAAATGCAGATTTTTAAAGGATCTGGCCAAAATGTATGTATGCTGAACTTCTTTCGCACCATATGTAGCAAACCCTGCTAATTTCTATGTGCTAATGAAGAGCAACAAACGACACAACGTTATAAATCTAGAAGATTGAAAACTATATAGCTCCAGTGGCTTCCTAATATCGGATGGAAGAGCATTCCAGATGGCCGCGAAAGAGCTTCTGAATCCACGTGATGTAGTGACCATTTTTGTTCGATGGCTAGCCAAAAGCAGCTGCGAGGATGACCGGAGTTTGTACGACGGTTTACGCTCCTTGACCAAATCAGCAAGGTATTGTGGTTCATTTGTGGAAAGCACTTTGTGTATGTACCGAGTGCGACCTTATAATATTTTCCTGTGGCAACTGGAAGCCAATGCAGCTCAGCGAGCACTGGACGGACATGGTCAGATCTTTAAGTACCCATCACGAAACGTGCCAAAGAGTTTTGTATATACTGCAGCTTGATAATTTTTTTGCCAGACTCCCGGTAGAGTAGCAAGTTGCAATAATAGAGCATTGCCGATACTATGCTACAACGCCTTGTTTTTTTTCAACGGTTTTACTTTACTTGACTCCTCTGTTTGTCGTGGTCAAATCTTGAAATCAAAATTTCGTCCACTTACCGTTGTCCAATCAATTTCACATTTTGCACACGTACTCAGATCCGGTGACAATGCATGCCTGTATGAAAATCGGCATGAATTAATCAATGAATTCGCTACTTAAATCAATTGACATTTTGCGTGAACGCCTTATTATTTATATATTTGTGTAGGTAAATAACGCCGCGGTCCCTAAACTGTGGAATCGGCTCGCACAAAAACAGGCGCCACGTGTCTCAGGCGCCATTGACGTACTTCTCGACCGTTAGTTAATCGAACCGTTGAATAAAACCGTTGTTTTCAAAACACTTTTTAAAATAAGTTTATTTCTACCCCACGCCGACATCTTTCCATTGTGTGGTTTAGCATGATGGCTTTGGGCAGCAGAGAACACAGGAAAACTCGTAGTAAAAACATTTCTTTAAAACTGATTTTGTATTTGGTTTCTTGTTCTTCCCAGCATCCTGTGATTTGTATGGTTGGCTACCTACCGTCTGAAAGAAGTTCAACATACACACGTACATAGGGCAGTGTCTCATCGTCACAATCTATTGGTCCGAATGGTGGGGGCATCTATGAACGTAGCAAACAAGAAAATAATCGACCAGCCAACCGTGGAAGTAACCGGGATCCTTTGTCTTTGACGACAGCTGTGTAACCCACACTAAATTGCGCTCGGAAGCAAGCACGGGAGACGCTAGGCGTACACGTCGTTCCATGAATAGAAAATGTAAAAGGATCGCCAAACTGCGACCGTGGTGAAGCACCAAACCGTCAAACCCATAGCCGAAGAGTTGCACCTTCCACTCCACACCCTGGCGGTATCGCTGCAATCCGTACAGCAGCTACTGCTGCCATGGATAATTGAAAAACCTTGACATTCAACTAAGACATCATCTGTACAAACTGTTGCTTCCAATCTCCCCCACGCCTCCCATGATGTACGAAAGAAGATATTGACTTAAAGCTTTCGTGACTGCAGAAATTAATATTATTTGCATCTTTTGGTAAAGTCACGTAGATAAGTTAAATTAATAAAAAATAAAACTACGTTTCCATCGCAACACAAGTGGTCGTCATCAGGCGGAGAGAAAAAAATCACGTAGATAGGTTCAAATTGATAAAAAATAAAATAGTTTTTTGTTTATTTAATTTAATTTGAACCTATCTCCGTGACTTTACCGAAAGACCCAAAGAATATACGATAGAAGAATCATGATCCATGGGTAGATGTCCCGTAGTGGGTGTCTTCCTCTTTCTGGTTCCTTCAATTTTGCCTAACATAATTTACATTTTACTTTTGTCCATCCTCATGTGTGTCCGGATAGTGCCAGTTTCCTTCTCATTACTGCCTGTATCATCAATTCGTCTTCTTTTATGCGCGACCCTTTTCTTACTTCGACATTGGTTACTCTTTGGCTCCAGTAGAAATAAATTTCAAATGCCAATAGAATCAGAATCTTTATTTAGACTATAGGAATGCGATCAGCTATGAAGCTCTTTTTCACAGAAGTCCAATAAGGGTGGATCAGCATGTTTCTGATTGCCAACCTGAAGAGACTGCAGGTCTGAAGCCTCAGTGCTGGTCTCCCAGCATCTCGTCATGATGGCGGGATGTTAACTATTTTGCCTGGTATACAGGAGGCTGTGGGTTCAATACCGACTCTTAACGATTGTATATTTGAAGTTTGCATGTTCTCCCCGTGCTTGTGTGGATTTTTCTCTGATTCCTCTGGTTTTTACCTTCATAGAATTCTTGTGAAGCTTATTTGCTGTGTGGCTATGCTGAATCTGTACTAGCTGTATCTGTAATTCAAGCCGTGACAGTTTAACTGCACTGAAGAGTCTGGGTGACCAGGTGTCTGGCAGGTTAATCTATTTTATACGTGAATGGACTTGAAGGTAAATGGTTTACTACTGTGTACAATTTTCATACTTTAGTTGCTTTGGTTAACGATTGGGTCACGTGAGAGTTGGTGTGTAACAATGTACTTCACGCACCCGTTTGCATGCACATACACGGTAGTTGGTTTATGACGCAATGGCACGCGTAAGGGCAGTGAGTACAGATTTTTATTTTAATCCGGAACACAAGAAGGACGTTTCACAGAACACACCCACCCAAGTCGCGTCCGATCAATCCAGAACTTAACAACCTTTATCATACTATCATACAGACACCTGTCCCATCTCATCGGCCGAGGAATTCAATCGTCAAGCCACTCATAACTTAACATCCGTTATCCACAGTGCAACTGACTTCCTGGCCAATGAAATCATAATCGTGAATGACAAAACCAGGACAGCTGTTAATGACCCTTGGCGTTAGCAGACACACACAATCCGGTGTCGAAAATTTTCGACCGACCACTATCAAACGTTTTGGGGCCAAAGTCAACCAGATCTTTGACCCACAATGATCTCTAATTCTTGGAGGAGGATTTGGAGGTGTCCTCACTTCACGACCGGTTAAAACAAAACTCTGGAACTGACAAGAGCTAAGTAACGATAGGTGTATACTCAGTGCAGTGGGAGGGGGGCACACACAGAGATGGGGGAGGGGGCGTTTGGAACCCAGATATCATTCGTATATATATTCATCTGTGAATCAAACTCCCATTGGCATTGCACCCACCATCCCAATCCAGCTGATTTATTTTTGGTTTCTGTCCAGTCGAACAGTCGATTCCTAAGTCCCATTATGATTAAAATGTTAATATCTTTTCTTTAACAGCTTTCATCACAGACTAATTTCAGCCACCAAATTTATTTACTCCCCCAAATTTCAGAATCGGAATCCGTGTGCGTGCTTCCCTCGCCACCAGATTTTTAGTTTTTTACGATTAATGTCAGGGTTCTTTTTAAAATATATATATTTTGCTATTCGTGGTAGATTTTGTTTTCCAGGTCGTGTTCATTCATCGTCATTTGTGTTAATGCCGAGAAGTTCAGAAAAACATTATGGACAGATGCCGGCAAACCCGCCCACCCACTTGCATCACGACACTCTCACACGATGACACACTCACGCACTCAAGGGTCCGAATGGCGTAACTTGCAGGAAGAGTCAAGGGCTTGGGTAGGATGGGTGGGTCAGTCGGAATGAGTGAGCAGGTATGGGAGGGGAGTAGGTGGTGAACCTATGCTCCCTTTGGTGGGTGGTGGTTGACGGAGGCTGTCCATAACCTTCATCAAGTCACTTCTTCACAAGAGTCTGGAGTCACTTCCTCAGTCACCACTTTTGTTTGAAGAGACTGCAGAAGGGACGCAGGGCTGGGCACAGACACGCACGCATCACAGATCATTAAATTGCACTCAACAAACGTAATCTGCCTTCATGGCCAGCATTATAAATAATCAATTTGTGGGTTAGGCCTACACAAAGATCAGACCAAATCTGTATCTCTAAGAATCCTATAAGAACTCTTTACCACTGGAGCTATAAACTTTTACATCATCTAGATTGATAACTCATTTCTTTAGACCAGCTTTTTGTGTTCAGTTGGTTGTCCTCCCACACTTCCGATGAGCGCAGTTGGCTACGTACGGCGCCAAAGAAGTTTAACATATACATAATACGTGTCCCCTCCCCTCCTTCCACAACCCCGATCATACACTCTAACAATTTCTCACTGAAATCGACTCGGGTTTAGCCCAGAGTTTGCTAGTTCCCACGTGGGGTGAAAAATAATTGCCACTTCCTTTTAAAAGAACAAGCCATGCTTGTGTCTGGGGGGATGGGTGAGGCATAATGATAAAGGCGTCGGGCCTGGGGAATAAAACTCCGCATACAGAGGAGGAATTCGTGAACCACGAACTTCCCTGTTGATCTAAGGAAATTAAAGCATCGCGTAAATTAAGTGCAGAAGGCAGCACGAACTTTTAACGCCGCAAATGCGGGCATGGGCCAACTAGTGCCAAGAATAATGGAACACATTTGCATGGAATAGTTACCTGGTGTGGCAAGTCAACGATCGCCCAGCAATTCTCCTGTCACTGTACACGGACATACAAACACACACGACACATTTAGACAACAGCAACAACAGCCCCGGTCGAATCACCACTAAAGTGATGGTGACGTCACAATGATGCTTTTGCCAGGCTAGGTGCACGTTGACGGGGTCAGGTGATGTGTGGCAGGTCATGGTTATAAACCGAGCTGCTATGTACTAACTGAGATGACTTGCAGATGTTCTCATCACTGTGTTAACTTACCACATTTTATCATCCATGTGGTTGCTCTGGTCATTGTTGTGAGCGTCACCCCCTATTGTCGTTGGGGGGGGACAATAACCTTCATGTGTTCTCTAATCCACGTGTCCCTCCACTGTGTCGAGAAATGTGCATCTCTACACTTTTAATCGCTTTGCCACCAATCCACCCAGGAGCTTCAATACTCTATTTGGGAAGGTTATATTAGGTTCGGGAGGTTTTGGCTATTATTTTGTAACGTTTGAGGATCTCTGCATAGGTCTTTGGGTTTCTGTAAGTGTATGGATGTCTGGGAACAGTTATGGGTCTCTGGATAAGTGTTTTGGGAGTCTGGGTTGGTGTATGAATCTCTGTCTTAGTGTACGGGTCTCTGCGTGAGTCTTTGGTGTATCTGCGAGCTTCACTTACCGGTGAAGACCTAGATGGCAGCAACAACAGGCGCCAATGGGGCAGCTGCATACGCGGCACACATTGCAGGCAAAGGTTAACGGAGATTCACGTGCGTGTTACAATATAATATTGACCACAACAGACTTTGTTGAGAGGAAATGACGCCTCCAACAGTCAACCAACACAGTCCTCAAAACACGCGCTAAATACACACTCCATAGCTGTATAAACGAATGAACATTTTTGCGCCGGGCATTTGCCGGTGGGAAAAAGAAATCCTCACCGATTTTGCTGTTCACCACGTGAGGAGCCACCACACCGGCGCCAATGCCCAGGGGGTAGCCGAGTCCGCCGAGGGCTGCAAACAACACACACGCAGGAGTGAGGGTTAAATAGTGGTTACAAATTAAACCTTACCCAGCTACACTCCCTCCGCACGTCCATATTAGCACGGTTTGCAACGTACGGTGTGATAAATGTTCCAACGTACAGACACTCGCAGCGACTTTTGGCTGGCCATCGAACAAAGACCGTCACCACATCATCGCCCGGCCCTTTCAGATGCACTTATGCGGCCATCTGCAACGCTCTTCTGATATTAGGAAGCCACTGGAGCTGTGCACTTTTATGTCATCTAGATCGAAAACTAATTTCTAGCGAACTGCTTTTGTTTAGTTGTCCTTCCTCCGCACCTCCATTTAGCAAAGTTGGCTAGGTACGATGCGAAGGAAGTTCAACATACGTACTTGTGTTATGCTAGAGATCAAGTTTGCATTCTCTTTTAGGAATCAACAGATTATCCCTAATCCCGATGGCATATGTAAGGTTCCTCTGCCTTCGGTAATCAACAAAATACTCATGGTTCGACTTGCGTCTTGTCATCGGCCTACTTGAGGCTCCTCTGATTTAAATAATCAACGCTCTATTCTCTCCATCCACACTACTACCTGTCCCCTCTCACCATCATTTGCTGCAGGTTTGCGGCTCCCTTTCCGCTCGCCTCGTGGCTTGTGCAAACTCGCAACAACGTTAGTGGTGCTCACAGCTAACACTGCAAAGACGATTTCTGCTGATTGACCCGAGCTGTGTTGTTATCCGTCAGGATAATAGCAATAATGACAAGAGCATTATCACTATTGTGATCAACACAAATCATCATCGACGCCAGGTATCATCATTCGTGCGCATGCCCCACTGCTGTTGCTATAACCTCGGACAAAATACAGGTTAGGTCTCATTATAAAACAACAGCAGTGGTTGTGGAAATTAATTATATCGATGATGATCGTTAAAGATTAGACTATTTTGTTATAATCCCCCCCCCCCGCCCATCCACCGCCAGCCCGACATTCCTAAACGTTTGAACCTTCGCGTTTCAAATAGAAGCGGTCGCCACTGAATTAACGTGGCGATAACTTTACAGAAACAATTATAACAGCCCTGGACACCCCGTACTTGCTTGGCGGTTTGTCGCTCAATCAAAGCACTATCCAGGCTCAACATCTGCTTTACTTCTGAGATATGATGACATTGGGCGGATGCGGTTCTGCATCTTTTCACCTGGAAATTTGAAATAGACTCGGGCACAATTTTGCCGATCGGCAGATTGCGTGTGGTGGAGGGGAACTGTGGGAAGTGACTCCCACCTCCGTCAACTCCTCCGTGCCGGCATGGAAAAATAGGCCGGATAAAAAAAAAGATCCTCTAGAGCTGACCTCTTGAGAAGGCATCTTCTGCCACCAGTGCCAGTGGTTTCGTTGCACCCTTATTCCCATAATACCTTTATCATCCATACCTTTTACACCCTTCTACCATAATTAAATGTTGACTGAAATCATCGCAACGAATTTTTGTCGTGACTCACGTTCATCTTTGGGTGTCGTGATGGTGTTAATGGGGGCGGGGGATGTGGATTTTCATACTTTATTCAAACATTTAGGTCGCGGCCACATGCAAGCTCATGCACATGCAGCATACCCACCGTGGTGATAGGGGGCCGCATGGTATCCGAGCCCACCATAAGGGTGAACGATCCCAGCTGCCAGGGAAAGACAATTCCGTGTTTAATGCGCGGGGGGAGGAGGTTCGATGTGAGGTTGACGAGGGATAGATGTGAAACAGTGTTTGAGATGTTAACTACCTCGCCTGGTATACAGGAGGTTCGTGGGTCGCGTGGGGGTTTTATTTCACCTCCACATTTAGAAACATGCGTTCAGAGAGTTTGCCTGATTTAATTTTCCACGTGATAAGACATTTTGTTGGGCTATCATTTGTGGCCAGGTCGCTTCTTAAAAATATCTTTGTGGGCCTACCAAACCACTCTGCTTTGACTGGCACAGTCCCAATGGGTTCATGATGGTTGTTTATGTTCTCATGAAAATCTGGTTTATGTGCCCAGTTAAGAAAAATATGTTTTGGCCTCGTGTTCAACTCCTTTTGTCAGCAGGGGAGCGTCTCTCTCAGAAGTGAACAGGGTGGTGCTAGGGGGTGGGTGGGCGTGGCTCTCCGAAGTGGGCGGGAGCTGATGTTCGTTTAGGGAGCAGCTGAGCCTAACTGACCGGGTGGCTCCGCCATAGAGCTGAGCAGCTCACAATCATCAAGTTGAGAGTTAAAATATTGGTTGATGACTAAAACAAGTACACTTATTAGGGAAGATCAACAATAGTTTGTGGTGTGGATCAACTCGCCCCTTGCCATGGGAGTGTGGAATTTCCAATGCTAATTTGACCATGACTTGTTTTGAATGGATGATCGAGTGTGTGGCATAGCGTATGGATCTCTTACCAGCGTGGTGCGCGTAGGCACCTCCAAGGGCCGCTCCGTGATAGCCCAGACCACCATAGCCGAGACCAGCATAGCCCAGACCTCCATAGCCCAGGCCCCCATAGCCCAGGGCTCCTGTAAGAGCGAGAGGGGATAGTTTGGAGAATGTGGATTCGGCCTCATTCCGCTGCTGGATGAGGTTCTCCCCCCACATTGCGTGGTCGTTGCAAGTGGCCTGTGACACCTGTGCTGTGCATAATGGCGGTCACCCATCCACTCGCTTATCCAGGCTTCAAACGAAATACGACGAGGTTTAGCAGTTAGCGTGCTGCGCTACGAACCCGGCAACCCAATTTCAATTCCCACTCACGGCCACCACTGGTCATGATTATTTGATCCTGTCCTGGGCCTCTCCTAGGTCGACTCAGTCTCAATTGAATATATGGTGCTGTACGAACAACATCGCTACTAGGGAGACAAAGGCCGCCGGACATGGTGCTGGTTACTCATCCCCTCGTGTGCCATGCCAGCCTTCATAGGTGCTCGTGAACAGCACGTTCCCCAACAGTCGGTTAAGACTGTACATGGGGATCGTTGGCTGTCTTTGTGTGTGTGAGTCTGGGTGCGTGAGAATGCGAGTAAGTTAGGATGTATGCGTGAGAATGAGTGTGCGTGTTGGCCTTTGGCCACATTTGAAGCATTGAGATTCTGCTGCCTGCTGGACTTATTGGATGCTCTACTTTCATATATTTGAGGGGTTCCTCCTTTATATGGGTTGTGTGTGTGTGTTTTTAACAAGTCGATATTTTTTTTTTTAGTCGCAGATTTGTGCTTTTTTAATTTAATTGGAAGTCACTTATTTGGACTTCCTGATCATGCCCCGTCGCCCCCTCGTCTATTTAGACCACGCTCTACGATAACTCAGAAATCTCCTTAGAGCAATATAATATACGATAAGTATCCACCACTATGTATGTTGAACTTCTTTCACACCGTTAATCGCCAACCGTGCTAATCGGACATGCGAGCATCTTAGCCACACGAATTGGGCACTCGAGTGATTGATATTTTTCCAATGCCCTGGCAGCAACACCGTTTAAACCTTTTAGCATCGTGATTCAGTGAGCGTGGTGGTCGTGTTGGTGGTCTTGAGTGTGATGAATATCACTCACCCACAGGGTGTCCCAGATATCCAGTACTGAAAGTGCTCACTTTTTGCTTGGTAACGACAGCTGTGGTAAGACAGAGACACGCATGCAACGCAAATAGACACAGACAATCCCCTTCATGGCCTGCATAGCATGTTGGGGCAAGCACTGTTAGCGAGTAGCATCTATGAAGGCCGGTACAGCACACGAAGGGGTGGGTGGCCAGCACCACATGCGCACACACACACAGACTAACACAAAGACAGAGTCCGCAGATGCGTGCACAAATACACACAAATAGACAAAGATATATTTTCACGCAATTTTTTTACAACATGAGGTTCACTGACCTATGTAGCTCAACAAACTGGCTTAGCACGTGGAAATTTATAGTAGCAGCCAATACTCTAAATGCATGTTTATGAATGTGAAGGGAAAAACTGGAGGACACGGATAAAATCCACACAACCACCAGGACAGAGACATGCAAACTCCAAATATACAGGCGTCAGGATCACGATCGCCTGCAAATCAGGCGAGGGTGTTAATATCTCATGATTGCTTCGCCCCCACACTAAATAAAGAGTCCCCGTATAGCCTTATAGACCTGTTTGGTCAAGTGCATAGACACACAGACCCACTCAGATACGTACACAGACTTCCATAGACACATGCACATAAAAGGACACAAACACACACATGTATAGACACAGAAAGTCAGAGACCCACAGACATGCATAGACACAAAGACAAAGTCAAGGATACTCACATATTCAGACTCGCACAAAGTGAAAGGTCAAAGACACAGGCTTACACTCAAACATCCATAGACACATACAGTCAAAGATAGATTCACACACATACATCCATAGACACAGGCTCACACAGAGATCCACGGATAGACACACAAAGACACAGACTCACACTCGCAGAGATTCCATCCAACTTACGCGTCGCGGTAGCGAGGTGAAGGAGGGCGATGACGAGCAGAGCTTGCATAGCGGCGGCCATTTTTATTTTAGGGATTTTTTTTCCGCTGTCGACGACGATGAGAGGAGGGCTTGAGTTGAGGCTGATGAAGCTTCACTTCGGAGTGACGAGCCTGGAGTTTGAGCCCCGGCTTTTAAAGGCAGCAACCAGGGGCTGGCTTGGCTGTGACCCAGCCAGGACAAGGCCTGGCCTCAATAGGTGCAGTGTAGTGCTGGCTGAGGCCAAAAGCAAAAGCAAGGCAAAAAATAGGCTCGCTCTTATTTGCTGTCAAAATATGAGCGCTGAAACGTTCTCTCTCCTTCCCCCTGAACATAAATAACATATTTTAAATAATATTCAGGAGTCGATTGAAATAAGGGATCCAGTTGATTCATTCAGAATTAAAATGCGGAAGAGCCAACATTTTGTGAAAAGCTTAATACAAAAAATAATACCATAACAAATATGGAGGGCGGCCTCAGACTACTGCCATTGGCCGATGAAGAGGCGTCCTCTTTGAGAGATGTTCCCAAACAGAAACAGGGACCTTTCAGTTCCTGTTTTCCCAAAGGCTGGGCAGATGAAATGTCAACTGGTTGCGTCTGAATGGGGCACCATGTCTTTTAAATTTTTTCTCAACGCGTATAAGGGACTTCATTTGAACACTGGGCGGATAAACACAGCCAACAGGGAGGCGTTGAAGTCTCACTAAATGTTTTTGGGCTTAGTGTTTTTTGAATTGAGCTTCTGTACATTTACACTCGACATCTCTGAATGTCATATTTGCCTCGATATTAAAACCCCGACTGAGGACTTCCGACGCCTTGGTCGGCTGCTTATTAACTTTGCAACTTTGTCCGACCTTCGTGAATTCCAGCACAGCGTATGATATTAACAACTTATGCCACGTGGAATTATGCCTGCGGGGAATGGGGAGCAATGGTGCAGGTTTTTTTCAATACACATCTACGTATCAATAAAATAAGAATAGGTTTTACCCTTTATGGCAATAAAACAGGAGTTGTATTAAGATCTTTAAACAACATATTTAACGAGTCAGGTCTGCCTTAATCACACGTATCTTTCTTTGCATGTGATAAAACATGCAACGAAAGATACTCTGATAATAAATGCGCTGTCGTTGTAACTGATTGGCCTACACCAGAGACAGCCTTCTGTGTAGCCTTGTCTCACCAATGTCAGACCAGAGAACGCCAAAAGGCAAACAAATACAATGCAATTATCAGAGCATTTATAGCTCTGGTTGAGTAGCTATATCTATGGGATACCTTTTTTGGCAGTATCAAAATATACTTTTATACATCTATGGAACCGTTGATACTGGGAAAAAGGTCCCATAGATATATTATATATACTTTTTACACCTACATTGTTTCCATAAATAATTCATCTTAATTCATAGTGTGTGATTATTTTAATTCGTTTTAATGCTTTATTGCTTTTATTAAAGTTTAGACTCACGAGCTGGTTTGGCCTTCACTCATCGCCTTCACTCATCGCGTCTACACACGGCCTGTTATTTCTGGCCATCAGTCATCACACATAAACACATACTGTATATACACAGACACACACAAACTCACGTATGTATGCTTATACGTATTTACTTTCACTTATGCACACGCATTCACAAGGGCTCGATATATATATACACACACATGAATATTCTACATACATACAAAGACATACAGACAAACGTACACATTCGCAGACAGTCAACAACAACTGCCGTTAAAATACATTGTGATGATCTCTCCCAGCACTTTCACCATGCTAAGTGCACTTTAAGGCCACGTGAAGTATCAAATGCCCCCTTGCAGGAGCTCACAGAAAGGACCCACCTTTAATGGGTTGACTGACTGAGATGACGGTCAGATGTACCAACTGTTCTCTACTGCATTGTATTCGTCCGACGCTCTGCTTGTTGTTGTGAGCATCGCTTCTCTGCCCATCGTTGTTACTGGTCGGTGACTGCTTCTAACTCCCCAGCAGCATCCTTAACGAGCCTTCTTAACACCGCTGGTACCGGTCATCGGCAAGTCCAATCAGCTGCACATCCTTCCCTACCGCATTAGTCCATATCTTCTTTAGCCCGTGCAGCACCCGTTTAGCCCCCTCTCTCCAACCAAACACAAGCTGCTTGGGTATGCGGGCTACATGACCCAGCCAACGCACCCTCAATTGCCAGAGGAGCTCACTGATGGAACTTTGTCCAGATATTTAAAGGATCTGTGAGCTCACACTGTGATCACGTCTGGATAAACCCAGGATGGTTCATAGGCAGGTTCGCCTGAATGTTTCAAACCAGCGCAGACATTCCCTTAGAAGGCTCCTGTGATCTAGAAGAACCGGAGCTTTTTATGGAGTTATAGGCCAGTCAGCTTCCACGCAACGTTACTCAGTTGATAAAAAAAAAATGCCACTCAACTTATTCGGAGTGAGACCTCGGCTGCCAAATTGGAGCTGGTCATACGCACATGGCACAGGTACAGAAACTTCTCCACTCTCTGCCTTATCATTTATGGAAAGTAAAGAGAGGGGAGCATTTGATGACATAAAATACCCAGGCAGGTGCTTTGTTTTCAGAGGGCTGATGGCAAGGCCCAATCTCTTAGTCGCATGCTCCAGGTTCAGCAGCAGTGCCTCCAACTCCTCCTCTTAATTAGCAGCAATTACGAGATCATCGGCATACATAAGATGGTTGACCAATCGGGAGCTATCCCTATTGGGCATTGATCCCATTGTATATATAGCAGATGGAAATTACACCGGTACATCCATGGAAAGATTCTGGAATGCAAAATTACTCTTGACTCCTGGCCACGCAACTTTACCCGGGCCTGGCCATCATCATGAAGGTTATTAGTGAGTGTGAGCAGTCAGGGAGCCTGAAAGTACGAAGAACAACCCAGAGCCGTGGCCTATTGATGATGATATCATAGATTTAAAGCAGAGATGTAGGTCATGTTGGAATTCCCTACACTTCTGCTGTAGCAAACGGACAGAAAATATCGTATTTGCGCAGGACCGCCCTGGCTTTGAACCACATTGGGGCTCCACAAGCCTCTTCTCAGCGTGCCTGGCAAAGCGATGTTGAATATTCCTTGCCAGGACCTTTACCGACACACTGAGGAGGGACATTCCTCGGTAGTTGTTGCAATCAGTGCAGTGCCCCTTGTTAAAAATGGGGACCACCAGGGCATTCTTACAATTCTGTGGAACCCGTCCTGTGGACCAGGCAGTTATAATGATATCACACGGCAGTCTGCACACAGACGTCACCCTCAGCAATTTGCTTGAGAGGTCATCTCTACTTGGCACTCTACTTAGTCTCAAGCTCCGGAGCGACCTTCGAACCTCCTCAATAACTGACACCTCAGCCAAACCACTCACAGTGAGCAGCAAATCTCTCTAATATTTGAGGCACAGAAACACTAGAAGAATCAACCCCACCTTGCCCTATGATTTTGCATTGTTTCCCCTCCCCCAAATACCTTACAGATTACATTACCGTTGTTTTTCCCCTTAAGGATAGTGATAAGTGTGGCGCTGTCAGTTGCAATTTTTATGGAGTTAAAAAGTGATTTATTATCGCGTGCTACTGAGGGAGTTTGTATCTCCTCAGCAACCTGCGACCACCACTCATCCGTGTAGTGCCGCACAGCTTTCTGAACCACCGAGCGAAGGCTGTGGTAAGCCTTCTCATTCCACGTAAGTCTAGCAGCCTCCTACCGTTGTTATTGAGCTAATCTGGCCCATGTCTTACAATCACGCTGTCCCAGGTGTTTGCATCTTGACCAACTCGGGCATTGCATTCACCCAACAGGATGACTATCCGGAGAAGCCACTTTAGATAGCACCTGTGACAGGAGGTCATAGAAGGCATCCAACTCTACCTGCATCCCCCCTTTGATGTTCATCTTAGGTGTGGGTTAAGCAACCACCACCATTCCTCGCCTCCTGTTGATGAGGCAAGCCCACAGTGGCCTGCGACTGACATTTTCTCACACCTCACCTCCAAGCACCACACCAACATAATTATTTTGTTTAAACGCAATGTCGCTCCCAGTTTTCTGCCCTGAGTGGAGAACTGTCCACCCCTCGTGGTGATTGGAGCTAGAACCAGTCCACCAGACCTGTATTTCAGAGGTCCAGGTAGTACCGGTCCAGAACTCAACAGAAGAGGAGTGGCAGCCTCTCCTCTGCAGTAAGAGTGCGGATATTCCACGTGGCCAACCAAAGTGGTTTTACTGTTTTTGGAGGAACCCCAAGGGGGGAGGGGAGAGGTTCAGTCTGGCTCCGTCAAATGGGCTTTGGCCAGAAGGGATCGTAAACTCCTATCCCCCCGGGGCCTCTAGCACAAAGCTTAATTGGCTGTTTTCATCGGGGTGTGTGATAACAAAATAAAGTGTCAAGTGGAGGGGTTATTAGACACTCATATTAGGGCGCATCGATGTCCAGAATGATTTCAATTCCGATGACAGGAACCCACTGGAACTGTGCACTTTTATATAATCTACATTGAAAAATAATGTATTTGTAACGGCTTTTTGTGTTTAATGTTGTTGTCCTTCCCCCTTCATAGCTCTACGTACGGTGCCAAGCAAGTTCAACATACATACACTAAACTAACTACACACTAATATACTTACACACCCCCTCCTCACTCTCACCTCAGCCTCACCACACCCACACTCATCAGGCCAGCCCCACCACTCTCAACCCCACACAACAACAACCGCCATTTACCACTAAGTGGTGGTGATATACTCTTTGATATCACCACGGCGCTTGTGTCAGGCGAGGTGCACTTTAAAGCCACGTGAAGTGTCAAACGCCCGCTGGCCGGAGGTCACGGGACAGACCCAGGTTCTATGGGTTGCTGACTGAGATGACTGACAGATATACCACTAGTGTTTCCCACTGTGCCAACTTGTTTGGTTTTAGCCACCCGGTACTCTGCTCGTTTTTGTGAGCGTCTTTCCTCTGCCTCCTGCCCAGGAGCGTCCTTCACGAGCCTCCTCCTCCAGAGGCCAATCTTAACACGGCTGGTACCAGTCATTGGCAAGTCCACTCAACTCCATATCCTCTTTTACAGTATCAGTCCATTTCTTCGATAGACAATGCCATGCCCGTTTAGACATCTTTATTCAGAAACAATTATTGTAGACACATCCAGCCTGAATCTTTCATATTGAAGCAGATGCTCCTTTAAATGACTCCACAGTGATTATGAGCAAAGGGCAGGGACTCTGAGAGCATGAAGAATAACTCAGTACTCATGTATGTATGTTGAACTTCTTTTCTACCGTACGTAGCCAACCGTAGTATTTGGAGGTTGCTTTTGACCAGGTCGATAAAGCATAAATGTAGGTCCCGCTCAGATTGCAGATGGACGGAAAATATGGAGTGCGTCTGGGACCTCTCCAATGTGAAACCACTTGGGGCTCGGCAAGCCTCTCATCATAGCCAACACGATGGCGTGCAGCATAGTATTTGCAAGGCTCAATTATTTGGTGATGAGGTACTTCAATATCAGACCGTGCCCGTCCGGGGCTCACCGAAGGAATATAGCGTTATAAGGTCATACTCATCACGCACACAGTGCTTGTCACAAGTGAACCACAATACCTCGCTGATGTTCACTGCAACGCGCGCTTTCGGATGCGCTTCTGCGGCCGACTGGAATGCTCTTCCGATAATAGGAAGGCACTGGGAGCTTTGCACCTTTTAAATCTAGATTTAAAACTAATTTATTTTTTAACTACTTCCTGTGGTTAGTTTGTTGTCCTTCCCCCACACCTCAGATTAGCACGGTTGGCTATGTAAAGTGCAGAAGAAGTTCTACATACACACGTGCGCACACACACACACATGCAATCATAGGTGCACGACACAGGCAATGGTACGCGTAAGGGCGGTGAGTACAGATTTTTATTTTAATCCAGAACACAAGAAGGACATTGCACAGAACACACCCACCCAAGTCACGTGAGATCAATCAAGGACTTATTAACTTTTCTCAAACTATCACACGGACACCCGTACAATCTCATATGCCAACTCGTTCAACCCACAGATACGAGGAGGTACACACAATTACCCAAGCGTAGTTTTGGCAAAAGTTGGAAGAAAAAAAATATAAAATAAAATTTGGCTCTTTTGTTTGCTCTTCCAAGTGCCAGTCGCTTACCGGTTCTCTCACCTCTGCGAATCGTCGCAAGGAAGCCACTGGTAACGTAACGACTCCGTCGTCAGCAGTATGTGATTGATGTTCATAGCCAACGACGTCGTAATCGCGAGTGGCGAAACCACGGGAGCTGTTCTTGACCCTTGGGGTTAGCAGACACGCACACAATCTGGTGTCGCCAAATTTCTACCGACCACTGTCAAAGTTTTGGGGCAAAAGTCGACCGGACCTTTGACCCGCAACGTTCTCGAATTCTTAGGGGAGAATTTGTAGGTGTCCTCACTTTTCGACTCATTAAAACAAAACTCTGGAGTGGACGAGAGCTAAATGATGATAGACGTATACTCAGTGCGGGCGGGGGGGGGGCACACACAGAGATGGAGAGAGCAATCGTGCTGTGACGGTTCCACCTGAAGACAGAAGCTTGTGTTGCCTCCGAAACGTCGTGAATTTTTTATTTTTTATTAATTTTATTTTTTACCTACGTTACTTTACCAAAAAAACCTAAGAGTACAGAGATGGAGAGGCTGGGCGCCTTAGGAAGCCAGGGCGTACGGACGTCTTCGAGTGACTGGTTCACCATGGCACCAGCAAGATGCAAATGATACCTGATTCACAAATGGAAGATTAAGACATTATCCTTCAGTGTGCCCCCGTGGGTCACCCAGAACAGAGACCGTACAATGTATAATGACGCAATGCCCCATCCACAAGTACGAAGGAGGCATCACAGCAGCCATGATACACTATTCCGCTGCTCCTGACGGGATTGTTTAGCTTGACCACCTGAATGTGAAATTGTAGTTGTCTCTGCATCTACATCAGCAGACGTACGGACGAGGAAGAGACTCATAGATACTCATAGACGTTCAGAGACTCCCAGACCCATAGCGACTCACAGAGACTCAGAGACTCACAGAGATCCGTGGAGACTCAGACCCAGAGTCTATTTGACTCAGGCTCAGAGAGAGAGTCCCATAGACTAATAAAGACATCACAGCGATGATACACTCCGCTGTTTCTGACGTGGTTGTCTGCTGGCTTGCCCACCTGAATGTGAAAGTGTAGTCGTCGTCTCTGCATGTACACATCAGCAGTACAAAGGTAAGAAATAACTGCCGAGGAAGCTGAGGTGACTGCGTTAAACTCTGGTGATGAGTCTCACGGTCAGTTCCTATGCCCCATTTGAATTACATATTCTATTTTGTTTTGTTTTGCGCAAATATCTTTAATAAAGGACTTAATTTCAGCCGCCTAATCAATTCGGTGCCCCCGATGGCTGAATCGGAAATCCGTGGACATGCAGCCCCCCCCCTCCCCCCCACCATTACCAGGTTTTGACTTTTATGATGAACGCCAGGGTTAATTTAAAATTTTAGTTTTTTGTATTCCATGGACATACACCAGTTCGCCCGCTCACTTGCTCACTCAAAACTGCTTTTTGTGTTTAGTTTATTGTCCCCCCCCCCCCCCCCGTACCTCCGATTGGTGCAGTTGGCTACGTTACAGCGCGAAATAAGTTCAACATACATACATATGTTAAGTTTGTTGTCCTTCCCCCACGCCTCCGATTAGCAACGATTGGCTATATTACGGTGCGAAAGAAGTCCAACATCCATACGCATGCTCGCTCGCTCACTCACACTTCAAGGGTCCGATCCGTACGAAATTGGCATAGATTGGTCAGAGACTTTTTTTTTATTTTAAACGTTTTTATTGCAACTCAACGCGAGCCCCGGTACAATAGGCCGATCGCAAAATGGAGGGGGAGGGAGGTGGGATGTAAATTTAGACTCGCTGCCCCACGTGCAGGGGTGGTCAGGGAACTTAACGAACGGTGAAGCGACACCATCACACCCACGGTGAGAATTTGTGCGAGAGTCAAGGCTTGCGTCCGCGGGTGGGTGGGTGAACTTAGACTTGGCAATGCACCGACACACACAGACCAATACCAATAACCCTCATTCGCCACAGCACCTGTGTCAGGCCAGGTACCTATTCAGGCTATCACTTGAAGTGTCGAAGGCTCGTTGCTGACAGGAGAATATCATGCGACAGACCCAGGAGGTGCAACGGGTTTGACTGACTGAGATGACTGACATGCACACGCAGACTGATCGAATGTCAGCTGAATCAACTCGAATGGAATTATTGATATCAGCAGTGGCAGCAACAGATTCTGAGCTGTGTGCACATGAACCTGCGCACCTGTTTGTGTGTGTGCATGGTGTATCGCAATGCACCATGGCCTCGGGAGTGCACCTAACCTGGCGCAGAGCTGTGACCTCAGATCGTGAACATGTCAATTCAACACTCCGGCAGGAATGGGTCGGTTCCTGAGGCTGAGCTGTGACTTTACAGAGGCGACGGGGCTCGTGGATTTGGACGTTGATCTAATTAGAAGCGCTTCATGGGATGGGGTGGGGGGTGGTGTGAGCGAGCGAGTAAGCGGGCAGCTATGGGGAGGATGGTAGGCGGCATCTGTCCGGAACGTGTCGTCAAGTTACTTCTTCACCAGAGTCTTGAGTCCCTTCGACAGGCAGCACTTCTGGCCGAAGTGACTGCAGATGGGACGCAGGGCTGGGCACACGCGCACACATCGCACATTGTTAGGTTAGGCACGGTCAACAAATGCGGAGGGCTTTTCGCCATTCCGATGTTACCGTTGGCAGTCGATTCGTGGGTGAGATCCACGTGAGGGTAAAATATAAATTTAAGTCTGAAAACAAAAGGTACAATAGACTTCATTTCCGGATCGAGCTGCATTTGCATCACAGCCACCGTGGCCCCACTCGGGAGGACCGTCACGGACCACTGGTGGATAGCGGGGATGGCTCTTTTGAGAACCACTGATTTAAGGAAATTAAAACATAGCACCAAAATGAGCGCTGCGAGTGGCACAAATGTAACACCGCAGATTGTGGCGACAGGCTAACTAGTGCCGAGTCTCGTGATCATGATCACGGCCCATGTGCACATAGCCCCGCAGTCGGTGTGTTGTTTCCACTTTCCTCTGTCTTGTGCAAATCTGCTCAAATAGTGGCCACATCTTTCTGGCACTTATCTCATTCTCAGTTTGGTCTTCCTCTGTGAGTCTCTACATATATATATGGGTCCCTCTGAGTCTCAGTGGGTATCTAAGAGTCTCAATGGGTCTCTATAAGTCTCTGGTTCCTGATGGATCTGAGTCTCTGTACGATTCTAAATAGATAGCAATGGGTCTCTACGAGTCCCTATGGGTCTCTATAACTTCATACATATCTGAATCTGAGTTTGTGGATCTTTGAGTTTCCTGGTTTCTTGAGTTGTCGTCAAGCCATTCTCTGTTAAGTCTTTCTCGCTTTGTTTTTTTAATAAACGAAAAAACACCTTTAATTGTCCTGTGTCCAAATAGTGCCAGTTTCCATTTCATCACTGCCTGCATCTCCTCTTCTTCTATGTCAGGGGTCTGCAACCTTTAAGACATAAAGAGCCACTTGGACCCGTTTCCGAAGGAAAAAATAAACTGGGAGCCGCAAAACCATTGCGACATTTAAAACAAATATAACACTGCATATATTGTTTCTTACCTTATTGCTATATACAGGATCGTGCAGTCAGCTGTCAATCTGAATAAAAAAGGACTTTTTCACTTAACAATGTAAAATATATTTTTGCAAATTAATAGCTAAATTACCTGGTTAATGGGATTTTTGCTCCTGAACCTCAGTGCACAGTGTCTGCACATCAGGGCTGTAAGACGTCACCTTCATTTTCACACAGGCTTGCAAGCTGTCATCTGTGAGGCGTGATCGATGTTTGTTTTTAATATAGTTCATGTTGGAGAAGACCTGCTCACATACATATGTGGAGCCGAAGATCGACAGGACTCCAAATGCATACTTTTTCATGTTTATATAAGTGTTGGGGATGGCATTCCATGTTTCGAATACAAGTTTGTCCTGTTTGGGAAGGTTTTCAATATCACTCCATTTATGATTCTGAGCCAGAATGGCCTTCTGACGGGCAACATCCTCAAGAGTAGCGGTCAAGCATTTGAACTTGGACACCCATATATCTTTGTCGGCTATATCGGCCAGTTCCATCTCAAGATCAGGTTGACTTACACCTGCAAATGCAGTCATATTCAATAGGGATGGATCGATCGCCAGGGGAGTGACAGGGAAGGATAATGTCGTTTTTTCCTCTCTGAACTCACAGAATCGTTTCCCAAACGAACTTTGCATTGTGGTGATTGCAGACTTGAAATATTCCAAATTTATCGTATCATGACTTTGTTTGAACTCTCTCAAAGAGGGAAAGTGAGACAGTGTACCTCTCTGTAAATCTTTGACAAACACTGTCAACTTGCGCTCGAATGCCAAAACCTCCTCCAGCATGTGCAGGGCTGTGCCTCCTTTCCACTGAAGGGTTGTATTTAGCGTGTTTAGATGTGCTGTCATGTCTACCATAAAATGTAATTTTTCCAGCCACTCTGGCTGTTCCAGCTCAGCAAAGGTGAGCTCTTTGCTGCCCAGGAAGGTTTTTACTTCTTCCAAACATGTGACAAAGCGTTTTAGCACCTCGCCTCTGGACAGCCACCGGACCTTGTTGTGGAGCAGGAGGTCAGAATATATGCTTTCCACCTCATCCAATAGCAAACGGAACTGGCGGTGGTTTAAACCCTTTGCCATTATCTTATTAACAATCTGAATGACCACATCCATCACTTTTGTGCATTCCGGGGGAAATGTTTGAGCACACAATGCCTCTTGGTGCAGGATGCAATGAAATGACAGCAGCGTTCTACCCAGCGCCTTCTGCAGTAGAGCCACAAAGCCCTTCTGTGCTCCTCTCATGCTCGGTGCCCCATCAGTAGCCACTGAGACCAGGTGGTTGGTGTTTATTTTTTTAGCACTTAAAAAGTCCAGGACAGCCTTACAGATATCCTCACCCCTTGTTTGGTCTTTAAGTGGTATCAGCTCAATCAGTTCTTCCTGTGGCCCAAAAGAGTTCACATATCGGCAGAGCAGCGCTATTTGTTCAATATCACCTTTATCTTTGGACTCATCACAGGCGATGGAGTACGCCACAGCTGAATTAATGTCTTGAATTTGCTGTTTGCTAATGTTTTCTGCCATTTTTAGGGTTCTGTCTTTGACAGTCTTCGCAGAGAGAGGCATGTCTTTGATTTTCTGCACAATTTCATTCTTGTTTTTGAAGTCCATGTATAGATGTTCCGAAATATTAATGAATGCTTCTTTTATATACTCTCCATCTGTGAAGGGCTTCCCGTGCTTGACTATTTCCTGAGCGGCCACAAAACTAGCATATGTTGTGGAATTTTCAGTCTTCACCCACTTCTTGAAATTATTTTTGCTCATATTAACCTTCCTCATAAGTTCTGCAATGGCTTTTCGTCTCTCATCTCCATCTGGATATTTTTCAGCAAAGGCTGTGTGTTTATTCTGGAAATGTCTTGCAATATTCGACTTTTTGTTGTTTGCAAATTTCTCACCACATATTAAGCATACTGGTAAACCAGTCTTGTCAGTAGAGAATGCGAATGATTCTGTCATTCGCATTCGGCAACGTTATTGCCTGTCACCGGGCGGGCAGTGTGGAGCGGAGCGGCGACCTGTCAGCAGCGGCAACGCCAGAGCAGGTGTCACAGTGCGCCTCCTCCCCTCGCTAGCATCCGCCCCGGAGCCGCGGTCAAGGTTCAAAAGAGCCGCATGCGGCTCCGGAGCCGCAGGTTGCCGACCCCTGTTCTATGTGCAACCTTTTTCTTCGAAGTCGGTCACTCTTTGGGTGCAGTTTAGATGCTGTATCATGCAGCAATACATTTCGAATGCGTGCCGACTGTAATTCAATGCAATGAGACAGAATAGTTACCTGGTGCGGCGAGGCAAGGATTGCCCAGAAATCCTGGTGCCACTGTACACGGACAGACACAGACAACAGATTTACACAACAGCTGCCAATCGCCACTAAGTGGCGGTGATGTCATCACAGCGTTTTTTTGCCAGGCTAGGTGCACATTTGAGGCCATCACGTGAAGTGTGGAAGGCTCTTGCTGCTGGCATGAGGTCATGAGACCCAGGACTGTTCCGCACCTACAATTAGCAGTTGGCTTCGTATGGTGCGATAGAGGTTTAACATACATACGTACATACATAGGTGCTGTGGGTTGACTGACAGAAAAGACTGGCAGATGTACCACCTGTGCTCCCCGCTGTGCCAACTTGTTGCGTTTTAGATGCCCGGCGCTCCTCTCGTTGTTGTGAGCGTCGTTCCTCCGCCCTCCGTTGTGGTTGGAGGGTGACTGCCTCCAATTGTCCAGCAGCATCCTTTACGAGGCTCCACAGAGGCCAATCTGAATCGGCCCATCTCTTCTCTAAACCCGCGCCACCGTTATTGTTTAGAGGGGGCATGGACTCGCCCCTCTATCCAGCGAAACAGAAGCTGCATGGGCATACAGTGGCCAAGCATGCGGGCTACGTGACTCCAGCTAATACAGCCTCGCTTGTCAGAGGAGCTCACTGATGTGCCTTTGTCCAGATATTTGAAGGATCTGTGAGCGCCTCACACTGTGATCCAGTCTTGTTAAACCCAGGATGGATCATAGGCAGGCTCACCTGAATGTTTCAAACCAGCGCAGATGTTCTCTTAGAAGGCTCCTGTGGTCGAGAGTGATAGGCCAGGCAGCTTCCACACGTTACTCAGTTGATAAAAAAAAAACCAATGCCACTCAACTGATTCTGAGTGAGACCTCAGCTGCCAAACCGGAGCTGGTCATACGCACATGGCCCTAGGTACATAAACTTCTCTACTTTCTGCCTTATCATTCGTGGAGAGTGGAGAGATGGGATCATGTGATGACATAAAATACCCAGGCAGGTTCTTTGTTTTGGTCAGGCTTCGTGGCAATTGCCCATCTCTTCGCAGCATGCTCCAAATTGAGCAATAGAGTCTCCAACTCCTGAGAGTAAGCAGCAATCACCAGATCATCAGCATATGTAACATGGTTGACCAATAGGGAGGGAGCCATCCTCTTGCCTACACCCGGGCATCGATCAGACACACTATGCCCAACATGGGCAGGAGATGCAAACTCTGCATAGAAAATGAGTCAGGACTCCTTGCTGTTAAGTGTTACACCACTGTGTGTGGCCAGCCTGCCGCCAAAGACGATATATATAGTCTATTCTCATATAACGCAGTAGTAGTTGCGTACCCTGAAGAACACTGCATTATGTAAAATGGCTTTATCATGAGAATATATAAAATAGGGTTATGTGCAGTGCGCGATAAGGCACGAGATGCGTACGGAGGCCGAACAAAGATTTGAGAAGCGTAGATAGCATCTGGAACCATCCAGCAGCATCCCAATGCCTCGCGCAATTGCGTTGTATCCAATTTGCATCTACGTAGTAAAAAAATGTGTTCCCTTAAAACATGAATTGTTATGAAAACACGCGTCATCGGCGAACAGACTGGTATTCCTATTGCTGTGGAGATTTATCTTCGGCAAAAAAGATGCACAGCAAACGTGGGTCCGGTGACGTTCTTGAAAATAGCGGGCAATAGGCAAAATCCGCGATCCGTGAATCCAAAGGCGTCGATGGGAAAGCTAGAGGTTTGGTTAACGGTTCGTAATGACACCCATCACCTCCTCTTACCTTTTTGTTTTAAGTTACTCTGCATCAACCCAATCGTGAAGTAGGAAAGCATTTTGAATGTAAAATCCGATTCATGTTTTCTAGGGTTAAATACAACTTGTACGGCAAATTATCGAATGAGAAAAAAAAAATCAATGGAGTATATTCTTGGTTCTTTCGGTAAAGTCACGTAGACAAAAAACAAGAACATTAAAAATTTAAAAAGCAGAAAAACCACGACGTTTTGATCGCAACACAACACAAGCTTGATGAAGACCGCTTGTGTTGCGATCGAAACATCGTGTTTTTTGCTTTTTATTTAAATTTACATTTTATTTGTATTTTCTATCAACGTGACTTTACCGAAAGAGCCAAGAACATGAATTCCTGCAGTCACGAAACATTTAAGTCCAATTTTTTATGTAGTATACTGTACACGTATTTACGTACAGTATATGCATGCTGTACTGTATGTACAGTGTCTGTGTGCAGCACTGTACACGTATCCGTGTACAGTACGGCTCAAATTTCGCTGCCTCGTTGGAGGCTGGAGGTCACCGCGTGGCCTTGGGCCACATGGGAGGCAAGATGGGAGACAAGACGGAGACAGGACAGAGATAAGATGGAGACGGGGACAGGATGTAGACGACAGAGACAAGATGGGAAATAAGATGGAGATAAGATGGAGACAAGACAGGGACAGGATGGAGACGATAGAGAGACAAGATGGAGACAAGATAGAGACAAGACGGAGATAAGATGGAGACAAGAGGGAGATGAGATGGGAAACAAGATGGGGACAGGAACAGGATGGAGACGACAGAGACAAGATGGAAATAAGATGGGAAAACAAGATGGAGATAGGGACAGGATGGAGATGATAGAGACAAGACGGAGGCAAGATGGGGACAAGACAGGGACAGGATGGAGACGATAGAGAGACAAGATGGAGACAAGACGGAGATAAGATGGAGACAAGAGTGAGATGGGAAACAAGATGGGGACAGGAACAGGATGGAGACGACAGAGACAAAATGGAGATTAGATGGAAAACAAGATGGAGATGGACAGGATGGAGACGATAGAGACAAGACGGAGGCAAGATGGGGACAAGACAGGGACAGGATGGAGACAGAGACAGGACAGACAGGATGGAGACGAGATGGGAGACAAGAAGTCGTTGCGTGCCTTCTTCCGTGGCAGCAGCGTCATCGTGAGCAGTGCAGTTAGGAGGCGTACAGGAATCTCGCGGTCAGCCTCAAATGGTCGAAGCGTGATCGGGTGAATGGTACCTCAATGGCTCGGGGTAAGCAGCTACATCATGGGACCTCCTTTGCCAGTACCAAAATATACCAATAGGGTTTTTCCCCTTTTTTCTGGCAACAAAACTGGCACCTTTTGCAAGGAATCGTGTCTACATTAACCGCAATACTTGCAGTCAAATGCAAACAAAAACACAATACTCTGGTAATTTTTGCATTGTCTTTCTTCTTCAAAAGAAATCTGTCTCTGGTGTGGACCAATCAGTTTCAAAGACAATGCATAAATTACCAGAGTATTGTGTTTTTGTTGGCATTTGACTGCAAGTATTGCGGTTAATGTAGACATGATTCCTTGCAAAAGGTGTCAGTTTTGTTGCCAGAAAAAAGGGGAAAACCCTATTGGTGTACCTCAATGGATTTGACGCAAAAAAAATCGCGATAGCTAAACCTGCGAGAGGGAAGGGTTTGCTGCATTCTAAACAACTTGATTAAAAGCCACATCATTCCAGCTGATAAAAACAATGCATTCTCTTTGGACAATCGAATGACTCAACAACTGCATTTGCTTTTTTGAAAAAAAATATATATATCAAAGTTTATCTTTACTTTATATGTAGGCCTTCAAAACCAGTGTGATTTTATAATTGATTTCTTTACGGTTAGATCGTCGTGTAAGGTTATGATGTCAATTTTTTCTGTAACTATAACCTCCCAGCACCCAATGACAGAGCCAACAAAATCAAAGTTTTCACGTAATGGGCAAAAAATATTGCCAATTTGGTTATGTACTCTTTGGTTCTTTCGGTAAAGGCACGTAGTTAGAAATAAAATCAAACATCACGACGTTTTGATCGCAACACAAGCGGTCGTCATCAGGCAAAGGAGATGATGACGACCGCTTTGTTGCGATCAAAACGTGATTTATTTTATTTCTAACTACGTGACTTTACTGAAAGAATCAAAGAGTATGGATTCCTGCAGTCACGAAAGCTTAACATCAATTTGGTTATGGGTTTGTGTTTTAACACGAATATTTACGCTGCTTGTGATAATCCTAGGCAAGACATCAAAACATGCCCGTTCGTATTAAATCAGTCGGAAATTCCGCTCGAACTTTTCCAAATATCGCCACAAATGTCAATTGGCGTATCCTGCCCAAATGACGTGACACCTTTTAATGTTTTTTTTTTATTTGCTCTGTCGTCAGGTTGATTGGGGGGGGGGGGGGGGGTTACAGTATCGAGGATCGAGCAACAGCGATGGAGAAAGGGTAGCGGAGGTATTCACGCTATAGGGGTGAGAAGGGGATCGGGAAGGGTAGGGGAGGAATAGGGGGAGCTGGTCACAATAGAGGGAACAGGATAGGGAAGGTGGTCACGGTCGAGAGATATGTCGGGGTTAGGGAAGGTTAGGGGAGGGATGGGAAAGAGTGGAGTGGGCGAGGTGAGGGAAGGGAAAGATAAAGGGTGATAGAGAAGAAATTAGGCCTTGAGAGAGGAACGAAATGAAGTTGAGGAGGAGGGGGGAAGTTGCTTAATGTACAAGGGCAGTGTTGAGTCTATGTTGTAGCGTTAAGTCTATGGGTCACAGTGTTGGGTCTATGGGTCAGAGTGTTGAGTCTATGGGTCACAGTGTTGAGTCTATGGGTCACAGTGTTGAGTCTATGGGTCACAGTGTTGAGTCTATGGGTCACAGTGTTGAGTCTATGGTCATTGTTAAGTCTATAAGTCACAGTGTTGGGTCTATGGGTCACAGTTTTGGGTCTATGGGTCACAGTGTTGGGTCTATGGGTCACAGTGTTGAGTCTATGGGTCACAGTGTTGAGTCTATGGGTCACTATCAGTCACAGTGTTGAGTCTATGGGTCACAGTGTTGAGTCTATGGGTCAGTGTTGAGTCTATGGTCATTGTTAAGTCTATAAGTCACAGTGTTGGGTCTATGGGTCACAGTGTTGAGTCTATGGGTGACAGTGTTGAGTCTATGGGTCACAGTGTTGAGTCTATTGGTCACAGTGTTGAGTCTATGGGTCACAGTGTTGAGTCTATGGGTCACAGTGTTGAGTATATGGGTCACAGTGTTGAGACTATGGTCATTGTTAAGTCTATGGGTCACAGTTTTGGGTTTATGGGTCACAGTGTTGAGTCTATGGGTCACAGTGTTGAGTCTATGGGTCACTATCAGTCACAGTGTTGAGTCTATGGGTCACAGTGTTGAGTCTATGGGTCAGTGTTGAGTCTATGGTCATTGTTAAGTCTATGGGTCACAGTTTTGGGTCTATGGGTCACAGTGTTGAGTCTATGGGTCACAGTTTTGGGTCTATGGGTCACAGTGTTGAGTCTATGGGTCACAGTGTTGAGTCTATGAGTTACAGTGTTGAGTCTATGGGTCACAGTGTTGAGTCTATTGGTCACAGTGTTGAGTATACGGGTCATAGTGTTGAGTCTATGGGTCACAGTGTTGAGTCTATGGGTCGCAGTGTTTAGTCTATGGGTCACAGTGTTGAGTCTATGGGTCACAGTGTTGAGTCTATGGATCAGAGCGTTAAGCCTATGGGGCAGCGCCGCTTAACGTACAGGGGAAGTTGACTCCAGTGGAGGGGTGCAAGGAGGGGGAGCGAGAGAGAAGGGATCTAAGGACGATCTAACGTGGCAGAAACTAATTATGAATCGCGGGTGAGTGCTTTGTGTATATAAAATAAGGACGCGCGAGGAGTTAGGTCACCACGGTGATGACGACGTCCGTTTACAAGCACACACCGTCAGTAGCGATCTTTGTCGAGCACCGAAGCGGAACCAATTGTTCCCGACCATGCAGCGTCACATCAGCAGAGCCGAGACAGAGCACATGCAAGGAACAAAGACACACAAAGTATAGTCTTCAACAGAATGCTGGGGGGGGGGGGGGGGGGGTGAATGCCGTTAGCGAACAGCAGCAGCAGCGCCTATGAAGGCCAGCACTGGCGCACACGAGGTGGGGGTTGGTGGACCAATCGGTGGGTGGGTGCATGGTTGGGTGGGTGATTCGGTGGGTGTTTGGGTGCTGTGGGTGAGTGTTGTGGGTGGGTAGATGATTGAGTGGGTGGCCTTGTCTAGACCACCAACTCGAAAGAGAGCTCAAAATGTGGCCGTATTATTATCATCGTCTCGCCCACCAAGTTGCAAGGACAGATCTGAAGGATGATGCCATTCCATGACGCAGGAGGGAACAGACAGACAACTGTTGACCGGTTCCATTCCAGTCGGACTCACCAGGCAAGTGCAGTGATGGACGATAATCAGTTTGGCTTTGTGTACAAGTCAGCATGTGTGCGTCTCTCTGTGTGAGTCTCTTGGGTCTTAATCACAGGAATATGAATTCCATCATTGCTCCACAAAACTGCACACTCGCTCACTCACTCGCACCTCCGATTAGCAATGGTTGGTTACGTACAGTGTGACAGGGTATTCAAAATTCTACACTATTATACACTACACTAATATACACTACACTATTATACACATACTCTCAACTCATCCGTTCTCTAGAGGAGTAGCGAATAGAGACTGACCTTCAGGGATGACGGGGAGAGGAGCCTCTTCCTCGACCTCCACATCAATGCCTTCCTCTGAAACGAGATAGATCAAACGTTGGCTGGGGTCAATCCACTGCTGGATGAAGGCCTCCGCTTCTTTGTCTCTCCAAACAAGCCACTCCGCCAACTCTCATGATTCCTTGCGATGTAATGTTTGTTACTTTGATCCTTACCACCCCGTGTATCATCGACAGTTCAGCGTGCCATGGTGGTAATGAGATGTTAACTTCCTCGCCTGGTATGCAGGAGGTCGTCGGTTCAGTCCCGACCCTGATGATGCCTGTTGTATATTTTCAGTTTGCATGTTCTCCCCGTGGTCGTGTGAATTTTTCTCCAGGGCCTCCAGTTTTTCCATCCACATTTAGAAACATGCGACTAGAATATTTGTCTGCTATCAATTTCCCCGTGACGAGCCACTTCGTTGAGCTATAATTTGTGATAGCCAGGTCGCTTCTGAAAAATAGCTATGTAGCTCAGGGGCCTTTTCTGGTCAATTATAAATAGTTTAGTATGGGGCTCTGGGTAGGTGTATGGATCCCTGGGTAAGTGTTTGAGTCTCTGTATAAGTGTGTGGGTCTCTAGGTAGATGTATGGGGTTTCTGGGTAGGTGTATGGGTGTCTGGGTACGTGTTTGAGTCTCTGTATACGTGTGTGGGTCTCTGGATAAGTTATGGGTCTCCGCGTGAACCTATTGTGTCTCTGCGAGCGTCACTTACCAGCGACCACCTCGGGGCCGGGATCAGCAACAGCGGGTGCGAAGGGGGCAGCTGCATACGCGGCACCTACACCCACCACCACAAGCAAAGTTGAACGGGTCACGAAGATTCACGCACGCCTGTTATATGTATGTATTTTGAACTTTTGCACCGTACATAGCCAACCATGATAATCGGAGGTGCGAGGGAAAGACAAACTAAACGCAAAAAGCAGTTCTGAAAAAATGTGTTTGTTAGTCTCAATGAATTAAAATTGCACCTCTCACAGTGGCTTCCTGATATCGGAAGGAGGAGCATTGCAGACAGCCCATCTGAAAGCGCGTGATGCAGCGACTGTCTTTGTTCGATACAATATTCACCACATCACACTTTGCACCTGTTTTCTCAGTAGATGAAGACTACAGCCCAGAAACCCCACTCACTTTGGGGTAGCCCCGCCCTCTCTACCAATGGCCCACCCACTTAGCCACTAGTCCCCAACCATGTAAGGAGTGGATCCTGGGTGTGTGCATGCACCCCATACTCACCGGGCAGGAGGTGGGGAGCGGCCACAGCAGCTAAGGGTTGTGCTACAAACAAGGGGAGAGAGAATCCCATGACATCACATCTCCATACAGACAAAAATTCCCCCCGTGTAGCCTTATCAAACTATTGGGGCAAGTGCTGTTAGCAAGCACCTATAAAGGCCGGCATAGCACACGAGGGAATGGCTGACCAGGACCATGCCCGGCCGCCTTTGATTCTCCAGTGGCAATGTTTACACTGCACCAAGCACTCATTTGAGACTCAGTCAGCCTAGGGAAGGCCCAGGACCGGTACAAATATTCGTCCGTGTTATTGATCGTGAGCGGGAATTAAATTCTGGAAGCCCCGTATGTACCCACACAAACACTCCACAGCAGGGGGTCTTAAATACAGACAATGCTCATAAGATCTGTTGAGTTCTGGAAGGCTACGATTATAGCAAAAATCTGGAATGTAAGAGAAAACGGATCGAGATGGCAATATTGTAGTGATGTTTGCAACACTGTAGTTTACATCATCAGTCGACCAATCAGCTACGAGGAAGACAACCTCCAACGCAACATTGCCATCATTAAGTCACCGGTGCAAAATGGCCACCATGATGTCACACATGCAAAATGGCTGCCGTGACGTCCCCCCTTTAAAAAATGGCCGACATGATGTAATCCATGCGTTTTAGCCAGTCTGTTAATGAACTAAATATTATTAATATCTATTATTTCCATAAGTAATGTTCTTGAGATGTTGATGCATTTGCACGGTTATCTATGTACGGCACAAAAGAAGTTCAACGTATAACACGTACTTATTAAACATGCGTTCATGAGTTATTTGCTTCATTAAACTCAATTAAGTTATTAATTATCGATAAAGTAAAAAAAAATACGACAAAAAATTAAAAGAACGCATTGGGAAATTCCCGTGCATTTCAAGACCCCCATTAGTTGATAAGTAGTGTAGTGTATAGTCGTGTAATATTACAACTAGTTTCATTAGGCGACAGCTAGATTTGTGGCTGTCGCCTGTGAAGCTCGTAAGTACTGGCAAAACGCCGTACTCAGATTGTCAATGTGGCTTTGCTCTCCAATTCACAACCGGTGTGGCTGCTGTACCAGTAACAAATTGGCCACGTTCTGTTTACATGACCCTAAAAGCTTACTAATTAGCTGTGTCATGTGGTGGTGGATTTCACGACGCAACATTTATATGTTTGCGCGATCTACCGCATAAACAAAATCTGCATTATGAAGAGAAACCCCTCACCGACTTTGCTGTTCACCACGTGGGGAGCTGCTACGACACCGGCGCCCAGGGGGTAGCCGACTTTGCCGTTGATCACGTGGGGAGCTGCTACGACACCGGCACCAATGGCACCCAGGGAGTAGCCGACTTTGCTGCTGATCACGCGGGGAGCTACGACGCCCAGGGGGTAGCCGACTTTGCCGCTGATCACGCGGGGATCTGCTACGACACCGGCACCGATGGCGCCCACGGGGTAGCCCACTTTGCTGTTCACCAGGTGGGGAGCTGCTACGACACCGGCACCAATGGCGCCCAGGGGGTAGCCGACTTTGCTGCTGACAACGCGGGGAGCGACGACTACCGGCGCCAACGACGCCCAGGGGGTAGCCGACTTTGCTGTTCACCAGGTGGGGAGCTGCTACGACACCGGCACTAATGGCGCCCACGGGGTAGCTGACTTTGCTGCTGACCACGCGGGGAGCGACGACACCGGCGCCAACGACGCCCAGGGGGTAGCCGACTTTGCCGCTGACCAGGTGGGGAGCTGCTACGACACCGGCACCAATGACGCCCACGGGGTAGCCAAGTCCACCGATGCCTACAACGTGCAGAGACAAAACGGGGTGGGATGGGCCGAGGGTGGGGGTCGGGGATCACGGAAGCGTAACGTAGGTCAGAGGTTAAAACTCCTCAACCAGCCACACTTCTGCAGCATAACAAAAACCAAACTCTGGTTCTTTCGGTAAAGTCTCGTAGATATATAATATAACATAAATTAAATCACGCCGTTTCGGGCGCAACACAAGCGTCCGTCATCAGGTGGGACAACCACAGCAAGAAACAATTGCTGAAGTGGGCAAAAGTGTTTCTGTAATAATAGGCTATATAGGTAAGAGAGGGGAGAGGAGCTAGGGAGGAGAGAGAGAGAGGGGGGTGTGGGGTAGGGGGAGTGGAGTGCTGCAAGCTTGAGGGATTGCATTTAATTGCCACAGAAATAACTAAACAGACTCAATTCCAGCAGTTTATAACACCGGGTCCATGCATGGTATTTGGTGACCCAATCAGGCGCTGTCCAGGCTAAACTCTGCTTAGCTTTCAATATCCAACGACATCTGGGAGTACGTTCTGGATTGACAAGAGGCGGTGGGCAGGTGAGTCGGTTGGAAGTGGGTGGAGGGATTTAACCCATTTCCCGTTCTGAGATGTCTGCAACTTGCATGTTGGATGTCCCGTTCACCGCCGAATCTCAAAACGCGCAAGCGGCCCCGCCTTCATTTTATATAGACAGGCGAAGTAGTGGTAGCACTGCTGTTTTTATAAACCATAGCGACATGACTGCCGCCCACTTCTACGATAGCTGGCGCCAGAAGTGTGCCACGCGCCCTCCAATTCCATTCCGATGACGCATATATAACGTCATAAGAACAGAATCTGAAGGAAAAGTGCATGATGTACACGTATGTACGCACGTCATCGAAATTTGGAAAGGGTTTAATCTCGTTCTCGTTTCAACTGCCGCGTCGGAAAATCGAATCGGAAGTGGCGTCCTCCGGATTACGACTCCAGTTTCGCTAACCGTTATGAATTAATCAATGTGACCAGTTTCTCAATGCCCCCGCTGCCCCTGTTCACCCGGACATATAGAATGGGTTCAGCAGAGTTTTTTGCCCATCGGCAGACATGCGTGTGGTGGAGGTAAAGCGTGAGCAAATAAGTATTCTGATTATGACTCCCACCTCTGTCGATGCCGCAGTGCCGGCGTGGAAATTAAGTCTGGCAAAGAAAATATCCTCTCAAGAGTTTACCTCTGGTGAACCAGTGGCAGTTGTTGGGGTGCACCTTTATCCATGACGAGAATAAGAATGGGATTTACACCTCATTCCCATAGGCACCTTTCTGCTGTAATCAATTCAATGTTGACTGAACTGATCGCAGCAAATTTGCTCGCGACTCGCGTTCATCTTTTGGGTGTCATCGTCGTCTATGTCGTCGTGGTAGTGGTAGTGGGGGGAGGGATTAAAATATTACTGGTAGGAACCACCTGGTTCCACCAGCCCACAGGGGATTATTGTGTCCGTCCGTCCATCTGTCCGTCGTGCATGCAAAAATGGGAGGGGTGGGGCTGGGTGGAGAGGGGAGGGTGGGGAGGGCCTGGGTGGGGAGGGGCTGGGTGGGGAGGGGCTGGGTGGGAGGGTGGGGGTGGGAGGGGTGGGGCTGGGTGGTGAGGGGCTGGTCACCCCGTGGTGCCCTTATAAAACTCAACATTTAACCCACTCACGCCGGCTTGTGCCCGCCCTCACAGTCGGCCATATTTGCGGAATACACCACGCCGCCATTGACCCTGGCCATTGACCGAGCAACCCAACGTTCCTACCAGTTCCCTCCGCAGGAATGTGTTAATTAGGAAGGGGTAGGGGCGAGGTAGGGGGTACATGCAAGCTCATGCACATTCGGCGGCATACCCACCATGGTGGTAGGGGCCCCCAAGGTATCCGAGCCCACCATATGACTGGACGAGTCCAGCTGCCGGGGAGACACAGTTCCGTGTTTAATGCACGGGGTGGGGGGGGAGGTCAGTGGTGAGATTGGTGAGGGATTGATTTGATAGGGTTGGTCGTGGCTTTGGCTTATGGCAAACGGCTAAAGGCTGCCTGCTGACCTGCCTGCCGCCCTGCTGTCACTTGGGACCGTCCCCCGATGGGTCTATAAACGACTGTTCCCATGAAAATTTTTATTTTGTACCGGACTACTAAAATGTTTTATTTGAGACTCGTAATGAACCCCTTATATGGGCATGGGAGGGAGCCTACCTGAGTAGTGGCGTGGGCGAGGCTGGAAGATGAGTAGGTGGTGGTCTACGGGATGGGGGGGGTGCTCGTGGTGGAGTGAGCATGGCCATGCAAAGTTGGTGGAGTTTCGACGTTCAGTTGTAGGGAGCAGCTGAGACTAAAATTGTCCGGGCATAATTTCAGGTGCTCGTTCGGGACACGCGATTTGTGTGAGCCGGTTCGAGAGTGTGGGCTAGTTGGGGGTGGGTGGGGGGGAGGTTGGGGAGATTTCTTACTTGTGTGGTGCTTGTAGCCTCTTGCAATCGCCGCTCCGGGATAGCCTAGACCACCATAGCCCAGACCGCCTGTAAGAGCGAGAGAGGAGAGGGGGGGGGGGATAGAATAGAGAGTGTGTGGAGTCAGGTTCAAGTAAGTTCCCACTGAGCTGTGTGTAGCTATCTTTCAGAAGCGATGACAGATGATAGTTCAATGGAGCAGCTTATCGCGTGGAAATTTATAGCAGCCAAATATGCGTGATGTTGATTCTAAAAGTGGAGGAAAAAACCGAAGGACCCGGAGTAAGAGCGTGTGCGCGCGTATATATGTTTAAAGATATGTGTGTACGCTTTTATTTATATAGAATAGGCTCTTTCAGGTGGTGAGTGTGGTGGTGGTGAGTGTGAGAAGTGTTGTATTGAGTGTGGTGGTGGTGGTGGTGAGAAGTGTTGTGGTGAGAGTGGTGGTGAGTGTGAGAAGTGTTGTGGTGAGTGTGGAGGTGGTGGTGGTGAGTGTGGTGGTGGTGGTGAGTGTGGAGGTGGTGGTGGTGAGTGTTGTGGTGAGTGTGGTGGTGAGTATGGAGGTGGTGGTGAGTGTTGTGGTGAGTGTGGTGGTGAGTGTGGAGGTGGTGGTGAGTGTGGAGGTGGTGGTGGTGGGTGTGGAGGTGGTGGTGGTGAGTGTTGTGGTGAGTGTGGTGGTGGTGAGTGTTGTGGTGAGTGTGGTGGTGAGTATGGAGGTGGTGGTGAGTGTTGTGGTGAGTGTGGAGGTGGTGGTGGTGAGTGTGGAGGTGGTGGTGGTGAGTGTTGTGGTGAGTGTGGTGGTGGTGAGTGTTGTGGTGAGTGTGGTGGTGAGTATGGAGGTGGTGGTGAGTGTTGTGGTGGGTGTGGAGGTGGTGGTGGTGAGTGTGGTGGTGGTGGTGAGTGTGGAGGTGGTGATAAGTGTGGAGATGGTGGTGAGTGTGGTGGTGAGTGTTGTGGTGGTGGTGGTGAGTGTGGTGGTGAGTGTGGAGGTGGTGAGTGTGGAGGTGGTGGTGGTGAGTGTTGTGGTGAGTGTGGTGGTGGTGAGTGTTGTGGTGAGTGTGGTGGTGGGTGTGGTGGTGGTGGTGAGTGTGGTGGTGAGTGTGGAGGTGGTGGTGAGTGTGGTGGTGAGTGTGGAGGTGGTGGTGGTGAGTGTTGTGGTGAGTGTGGTGGTGGTGAGTGTTGTGGTGAGTGTGGTGGTGAGTATGGAGGTGGTGGTGAGTGTTGTGGTGAGTGTGGAGGTGGTGGTGGTGAGTGTGGAGGTGGTGGTGGTGAGTGTTGTGGTGAGTGTGGTGGTGGTGAGTGTTGTGGTGAGTGTGGTGGTGAGTATGGAGGTGGTGGTGAGTGTTGTGGTGAGTGTGGAGGTGGTGGTGGTGAGTGTGGTGGTGGTGGTGAGTGTGGAGGTGGTGATAAGTGTGGAGATGGTGGTGAGTGTGGTGGTGAGTGTTGTGGTGGTGGTGAGTGTGGTGGTGAGTGTGGAGGTGGTGAGTGTGGAGGTGGTGGTGGTGAGTGTTGTGGTGAGTGTTGTGGTGGTGAGTGTTGTGGTGAGTGTGGTGGTGAGTATGGAGGTGGTGGTGAGTGTTGTGGTGAGTGTGGAGGTGGTGGTGGTGAGTGTGGTGGTGGTGGTGAGTGTGGAGGTGGTGATAAGTGTGGAGATGGTGGTGAGTGTGTGGTGAGTGTTGTGGTGGTGGTGGTGAGGTGGTGGTGAGTGTGGAGGTGGTGAGTGTGGAGGTGGTGGTGGTGAGTGTTGTGGTGAGTGTGGTGGTGGTGAGTGTTGTGGTGAGTGTGGTGGGTGAGTATGGAGGTGGTGGTGAGTGTTGTGGTGGTGATGGTGAGTGTTGTGGTGAGTGTGGTGGTGGTGGTGAGTGTTGTGGTGAGTGTGGTGGTGGTGGTGAGTGTGGGTGGTGGTGGTGAGTGTGAGAAGTGTCGTATTAAGTGTGATGGTGGTGGTGAGAAGTGTTGTGGTGAGAGTGGTGGTGAGTGTGAGAAGTGTTGTGGTGAGTGTGGAGGTGGTGGTGGTGAGTGTGGAGGTGGTGGTGAGTGTGGTGGTGGTGGTGAGTGTGGTGGTGGTGGTGAGTGTTGTGGTGAGTGTGGTGGTGAGTATGGAGGTGGTGGTGAGTGTTGTGGTGGTGGTGGCGAGTGTAAAGTTCTCACCGACTGCGTGACCCAGAAATCCGGTCCTGAAAGTGCTCACCTTCGACTTGGCACTGACAGCTGTGATAAGACAAAGCCAAAGATCCCCCGAGTAGCCTTGACATACTTCCGGGGCAAGTACAGTTAGCTAGCGAGTAGCAAGCACCTATGAAGGCTACCGGCACTGTGACACACACGAGGGGGTGGGTGGCCAGCACCACACCCGGCCGCCTTTGTCTCTCCCCAGTGTCGATGTCTACTGCACCACCACCAGCACCACCACTGCACAAGGTACTCATTTGAGGATGAGTTCACCTCGGGGCGACCCAGGACCGGTTCAGATAATCGTCACTGATTTTGGCCGTGAACGGGAATCGAAGTTCGGGTATCTGCCGGGTTACTTACACACAGAACCATAGACACCCATAGAGACCCATACTCATTGAGATCAACAGAGATCCATATATTCACATAAAACCATAGAGACCCATAGAACCCCACAGAGACCCATACTCATTGAGATCCACAGAGATCCAGAGATTCACAGAACCACAGAGACCCATAGAGACCCATACTCATTGAGATCCACAGAGATCCAGAGACTCACATAGAACCATGGAGACCCACAGGACCCCACAAAGACCTCCTGTATACCAGGAGAGGTAGTTAACATCTCCCAGGCACCATGGCTCCACCACACACACAGTAGACTACACACGCACACACCACACATACACCACACACACAGTCTACACACAGTCCACACACACACAGCAGACCACACACAGCAAACTCCACACACACAGCAGACTACACACACACACAGCAGACTACACACACAGCAGACTACACACACACACACAGCAGACTACACACACACCACACACACAGCAGACTACACACATGCAGCAGACTGCACACACAGCAGACTACACACACACACAGCAGACTACACACACACCACACACAGACTACACACACAGCAGACTACACACACAGACTACGCACAGCAGACTACACACCACACACACACAACAGACTACACACACAGACTACACACAGCAGACTACACACACACCACACACACACAGCAGACTACACACACACAGCAGACTACACACACACAGACTACACACACACACTGCAGACTACACACACAGCAGACTACACAGCAGACTACACACCACACGCACACATACACCACACACTCACACAGTTCACTCACACAGCAGACTACACACCACACGCACACACCACACACAGACTACACACACACACACAGCAGACTTCTCACACCACACACACACCACGCACTCACACAGTTCACACACACAGCAGAATACACACACACACAGCAGACCACACACACACACAGCAGACTACACACACACACACAGCAGACTACACACACACACACAGCAGACTACACACACACAACAGACTACACCACACACACCACACGCACACACCACACGCACCACACACACCACACACACAGCCCACACACACACAGCAGACCACACACACACACAGCAGACTATACACACACACACACAGCAGACTACACACACACACCAGACTCCACACACACACAGCAGACCACACACACACAGGCAGAGATCACCATCCAAACTTACGTGTCTGGGTGGCGAGGT